TATAAGAACCCAAACCCGCATCCCAAACAGTTCCTAGATCTATAATGGAGATAAAACCTTAGTTGAATATTCAAATTGAACCAGTAAAACAGATGTAAATTAAGTTCCCTTCTTGAAGTTTCACAAGATCATGAAGCCTGAACAGTTGATTTCACTCTTTATCAAAAGTCATGGATGATTGCTGTTGGATAGGAATGAAATGAATAAAAAAACTAGCCTATTGAATGTCTGTGCGAATGGTATCAAATAATTTAGATTTCTCAAAGTTGCTTTTCCACTTACTTAGTAACTCACTTTAATCCATAATCACATATCAATACAGGCTCATTTCCTCTGGCCACCATACCATTGCAATGTAATGACGGGAAATGGTCGCTGGATTAAGTAATCAAACGTCTCAATTAGTTGAGCGTTTTTGTTGAATGTTACTAGAAAACAAGTAATTCTGATTTTGATATTTTTGCAATGCACATAAAGCACATAAAGCATAGTTCTATGCATGTGAGGAATCTACATGCATAGTTCATTTGATAGAGGGAAGGGGTGGCGTAAACAATTTCTGACTGCCAAGTACCCCTCTAGAAGCCCATTATACCAAACCCTCCACTCACGCACACACGCAGTCCATGTTGGGTATGAAAATAGAAACGGTTCAGGCCCAAGGGGGGAGGGGGGGGTAAAACCACACCCCCTTGAAGAAGTTTCTGATGGGGCTGAGCCCCCCCCCCCCCTTGGCAAAAGCAGATCATGAATAATGTAGCCAGTCCATGTTAGTTTCTCGGAGATATCTTTGAAGAATTCCCAACTTATCAAGACAGATAACAATATTAAATGTACAGTAGATGGCAAAATAAACGCGTAAAATAAACCCACCATGCATGTATAACTTGTCAAATAAGAAATAAAAACAAAGAAACAAACATAAAAACCTATGCTCATTAATTAAGGGGAAAATCAGATTTAGCAAGCAAACTCCGAGACTTAACAAGAATTTTTGAATATTTTTTGCTTACATCATTCCGATCCTTGTCATGTTTATTTTTAAAAATTTGAAAGGAATAAATTCATCGGTTAGTTGTCACTTGTACATTTTGCTTGCAATTTGTCACCCCTATTAAAATATCTGGTTCTGCCTTTATCAGTCTAATTTCATAGTTGTCAAATAAAAAATCCCCTTGGCAAAAAGGCCGCAGCTTATACTTTAAAGAAAGTAGTCGGTCCATGATAGTGTCTGGGAGTTGTCTCTGAAGAATTATCAACATATCAAAATACGGCTGATAATATAAAATGTAGATGGCAAAATAAAACGGCATGCCCCTCTAAACATAATGCTCATTAATTAATATGGTTACAAGCAAAAAAGGATATATAAAAGGATTTAAATGGTTGCAACGCATTATCTATTTTAACAGAAATCAAGATAATAACTCATGCGACAAAACGGAAAATGGTTTAGAAAATAAATCAATGAGATCAACGTTATACAATAATGGAAACAAATCAGATAGTAAAAAAATCTTATTCTAATTTAATTCCTAAATCAAGTCTCAACCCTCCAGACACTGGTGACATTTGAACGCATTTTATCTAATTTAAATTAGAATTTAAATTAGACTTTATCTAATCTAAACAATCAAATCAAATCAAAAGTAAAACATGCAAACAGGTATAACTGCTTATTTGATCTAATATCCGAGGAAATGTGCGTCCGGGGTGTGTGACGCTTATTTCCAGTCCAACATCGCCGCTGAACACCCTGAAAAGAAATCTGCTTATGATAAGTTATTCTTTTCATACCATGGTCAGAGCAATATCTCAGTATTCAATAGCAAGTGATAAATCCTATATTTGGGATATGGATGACATTGGGATTGGAGGGATGATATGGATATCAACCCGGGTATTAATAAAAAAAATCATCTTTCAAAAAACAAAATTTTTAATTTTTTCAAACATTTTCTCTCATTCAAAAGAGGATTTTAGATATATTTTGCTCTTGATCATGGTATAAGGTCGTTATTCACCTGTCGGGATGATATTGAGAATATCCCTCGAATGATATTAATATTTCCCTCTGTCACTGCGTTCCCTCGGGATATATTCATATCATGTGATATTCCCCATATGAAATCTCTCCTGGTGATTAACATTTTGTATATACTTTCAACTAATTTAACAAAACAGAAACACAATGCATGCCAAACATTATCTACTGTTATATTATGGTTATTTCATAGTTTGCACTTGTATTCAGCAACTGTGTTTCTCAAACCCAATATGGGATAAACCTTTTTAGGGTTATCACGTCAGACTTAACACGTCGCTTGAGGCAAGATGCATAAACTATATAATTCCACGGCTATAACTTGAAGAACGCCATTGTTGTGTCTGTACCCCTTTAGGATGGGCCGTATATTGTTCTTGTGTGTATCCTACCCACGGGAACCTACAAAACAGAAAAATATATAATTACATTATCAAAAGGGGAAGTCCCGTCTATATAAATCCCTAGATTGAAGTCGTTGAAACATCCCCATATTTGCAACAAAAGAATGATAAACCAAAGTCAGTTAGTAGTAGTTGTACCATATGCATGAATTGTAGCTTTTGGGAAAGATGATAAAACGCAAAATATCATTTAAATACTTGGTGAAGTCAGGCATTTATGATCTAACAGGACATTTAGGGAAGGCGTTGATTATAATTAAACGTAAAAGCAAAAGTTGACCATTGCATCTTGGTGGTTATCATGACAAATGAATGTTCATTCGAAGACTTCATTTTGCAAATTTGGCCCAAAATCACACGAAAAATGGTCAGAATTATGAAAAACTGCATTATTTTGAAAGAATTTTTGGCCAGGGGGGGTTGCCTAAAATAAGTGAAACTTTGAGAACACACGGGAGTACATGTCAGTACTCACTGTAGAAGTTAAATGCACGCGAGGAAATGTTTGTTTTATTTGTGATACTTCCTAGATTTGCTTGTTGTGAATCAATAGAGTAAGAACGATACGTTTTGGATGTAAATAATATTAAAAGTTATTGAATGATTTGAAGTGCAATACAGGATATATTCTGCTCGAGAAATTCCATATTGGAACGAGACAAAGTCGAGTGCCAATACAGAATATCGAGACAGAATATCATAATGTATTTATTAAATTAACACGTTTGGTGTATTTGATATTGCCGAAATTATGCACAAGGTGTCTGTTGCAATTTCATAATTTCAAGCTGTAATCGGCCCTTGTGCCCGGGAGTAGAAATAAACTATATCTATGACAACATATTTCATGTCACTAAATTTAAACCCCCTATTTATGGAAAATACTTTACATTGTTCTTACTATGGATGTTATATAGGATTTAATTCGAATTTGAAATCCGGAATTTTTAGTACTTTAAAAAGATGAATTAAATATGAATATTCTTTGTACAGTTCGTGCATTTACAGGATGTTGTGTACGTAGAAACAGGGAGGCTAGCTACATGTACACGTATTTTAGAGAACTTGTACGTGAACATATAATATATATGAACCCGTGGGTTTCCTGTCCCTCCCTCAATTTATTTTTTACCATCGGGAAGCTATCGTTCCGAGCTGAACCATGTCTTATTTATTAAGAATTCCGACGACAAATTGCAGAATTATAGACCGATTAATGCAGTTTCTCAAATGGCTTGTTCAGAGCCAGAAAAGTGGATTCAGACTGCAACATGGTTACTATATTGCTCTGGGTTTCGTCTGAGCCGACCGCCCGTGTATGATGTAGTATTGAAGGCCGGAGTGCAACTAGAGCACGGGTATTTAAAATGTATTCCCGTTCCCCCAAAAAGGTTAATTCATCAAAACTACTCCGGGACTGTACACCCGCTGACGAAACTACTGTACGAAGAATAGGCGTAACATTCCTAGCTGTCGACTTATTAATAAACGTAATTTTTAAAGAATTATATCACCGAAAAGCGTATACAACTGCTTCAAATGTTTGTACATGTGTGCCACTGGACCAATGTGAAATGGAATGATCCGTAATCACTTTAATTGTATTCTTTTTCAAAACAGATTAGACGAATCAAATATTCATTGAAACTGAGAAAAACGCAACACTAGAATCTTGTCTGAAAGTTGAGTTAATATAGTCTCTACTACATATACTGTAAATGAAAAATATTTGTAGGTTTAGTTTAATTAATATGCGTATGCAATCGTTGAGCGAAGGCAACACTGGCGTTAAGCTATGTAAGCACGAACGGTTCGCGGGTTAAGTTCTGTCGCAAAGCAAGGTAAACGCGAGGTAGTCACACACGCGAAGCGACCGCGCCGCTCAAGTAAAACAAGGGTATCGCACTCGCACGGCAAAGGAGTGTACGGCGGACGGCAAAGTGACAAGCTCGTTAATAGATGGACTGTAGCTATATTTTTGCTAACTCGTTCATAAGCAGTGTTAAATACGTTCTTAATCAGTTTAAACCCGTTTGCAATTAGTTCTACCTCGTTCTCAACACGTCCGCAGACAGTTCAACTCGTTGGTAAAACGTCCCTAGTAGGATTGAAGTACGACGGTTCCGTTCGTAGTACGTCCAGCTCGTCGTTAGTACGTTGTCACTCGTTCTTATTGTAGAACGTGACGACCACGAGAACATTTTGAGCATTTTCTAAGTTCTAGAGGACCTACCCGTTCGAGTACGTTCGATGAAGTTTGTAAATAGATCCCAAACGGTTCTTAGTAGGTCCAGTCCGTTCGTATACAGTTGAAGCCCGTTTTCGATAACGCAGTGAGAACTAGTTTGGTGTGATAGTAGGGTTAGATAATTATATTTTAGTTTGCCAACAGATATTTCCAGATTCGGCATGATGGTTAAATAGAAAACAACTATCAAAACAATATCACAAATGTAAGTATGATTTGTCAAACATATGTATCTGTGTTAAAAGGCGTCCCTCATATATGTATCAGTGCAGTTATTCCTGGATTTCATCTTATATGTTTTCAGTCACTTCAGCTAGAATATATATTCAAATCCCGGAACCTGAGATCAACTATTTATTTGACAAGACCTCTCTAAAAGAAGTTATTCCCGACAAGGATTGGGTAGATAAGGCGAATAAAAGAATCGAAGCGATTAGAAAGGGAGATGTCGCAATAAGGTTCGTCAGTTCGTCGTTGTCGTAATCTTAGAATGAAATGTATCTATAAATGCATCCAAGATTTATCAAAATTACCTTCAAAATCAGATATTTACCTCAAAATGCAATTGGCCGTTAAGGGGATGAACTTGCAATAAGATCGTTTGAATTCGTATTCATTCTTAAAGATTTACATTAGGTTAAACCATGGGCTAATTAATTGAACTACCTAATTGAAACCCCATGGTTATACCTAATATAAATTAATCGATCTCGCGATCAGGATCACGACTTTGGAAGCGTTTCTCCTAATATCTTGTTCTCCATACCAGGGAACATGATCGAGAATTTAGAGCTTAGAACGACCTATGACCTATATGGAGCAGTAGATTGATAAATGGATTAACACAATGGCAACTTATAATAGCGAGCAATCTTCTTTCCTCAGATTCAAAATTAAACTGCTTATATTTTCTGAATATGCAATTTTTACAGATTGAACATAACCGATGGAACAGTCAACCCTGCCACTGTAAAACTGGAGGTAACTATTGAAAGTTATTGAACACTATATAAAACGTGTAAAGGATAAAGAAGAGGGTGCGTATACACATTAACAAGCTGTTTCGAGGTTTGAAATATTGCTCGAAATATTTCACCGTCTACATTTTAAAAATATATCTCCGTACTGCTACTAGGTTAGGCAAAAACGGCATGAATTTGCGTTTGGAACTGCAGTTAAAGGCAAGTTGATCAATGGAACAGATTCCGGCACTGCAACTGCGGAAAAGTACAGACAATGGTTCTACGATAACTTTGAATGGGCTGTTATTGAAAATGATCTAAAATGGCGTATTATGGAATGGACACCTGGTAATATTAATTATGCTCGAGGTGAAGCACCAGTTGATACCATTCTTGCCAGAGGGTAAGATATTATAAGTCATGGCTGCAAACATACCAATAAAGATACTTGAGCAACTTGCATGCATTGATGTTAAAGGCAGAATCAGATCTATGGGGGTGACAGGCAACATGTACAATTGACCTACCAATCTATTCCTTACAATCTCAAATACAATATCTCCCAAAAGATTCATATGTTATTAATTGAAGAAGTTATAGAAAAATAATACATTATTGTAAAAATCTTTAGTTTTCCTGAAATAAAGTGTGCACTTTTGGGATTTTAAAAAATAGACATGAAAAGGAATGACATAAGCCAAAAATATTCTAAAATTGAAACAATTTCTTGTGAGGCTGCTCACTAGATCTGATTCTCTCTTTAATGTTAATGTTAATTTGTGTTAAAGATATTTGATATCTTAGTCTAGTTATAAACTGAAGACGAAGCTCTCTTTCAAGAAGTGAAGTTGAACGAATACAAAGGGTCAGATATTTGCAACATAGTCCAGAAATATTTTCGAAACAATGTTTTCCCCCATTCCTGGAACTGTTGGACCTACTTGTAAAGTTGAATGGAAGACTAATGGCACACAACTATTTAGACCCAGCCAGCTCTTTGGACGATTCATTAGTTTGTTATAATGCCAGCTACCTCATTGTACGTTACCCCCCCCCCCCCCATCACACCAAACTAGTTCTTACCCGTTCTTGCCAGTTCTACGAAAACGTCGTAAAACGGGCTCAATCTGGCTGTGGTCGGAAAATATGTCTAAAATAATTAGCTAATTCCTTCATAAACAGTCTTAGATACGTCCATCCCATTCGCAGTTCGTTCAGGTCGCACCACGTCGGTGTGCAACGTCGTATAACGCGTCCCTTAGTCTAGAAGGTCATCATAACCTGATTACAGAACGGTATGGTCGCCATCGAATTTTGAATCGATTCAAAATTCTAAAATCACCTTCCCGTCTGAGAACGTCCTTGAAGTTCGTATATAAACCTTAGAAAGTTGCAGCTACGTTCATTCCGTTCGCACACAGTTTAAAACCAGTTTTGTAGAACGCAGTGGCAACTTGTTTGGTGTGATAGCTATATTTTTGCAAACTTGTTTATAAGCAGTCTTAAATACGTTCTTAGTCAGTTTAAACCAGTTTGCAATTAGTTCTACCTCGTTCTCAATACGTCCTCGGACAGTTCTCGTTGTTAAAACGTCCCTAGTAGGATTGAAATACGACGGTTCCGTTCGCAGTACGTCCAGCTCGTCGTTAGTACGTTGTCACTCGTTTTAATTGTAGAACGTATCGACCACGAGAACATTGTGAGCATGTTCTAAGTTCTAGAGGACCCACCCGTTCGAGTACGTTCGATGAAGTTTGTAAAAATACCCCAAACGGTTCTAAGTACGTCCAGTCCGTTCGTACACAGTTGAAGCCCGTTTTCGAGAACGTAGTGAGAACTAGTTTGGTGTGATAGTAGGGTTATGAGTATTGGCTATCGATTTTTAATTTTTTTTCTTCAACATGTATTGTAATGACTTCAGTATGAATGAAATGTCCCGTGGTGTTCTGGTCTTGGATTGTGATATCGGTTCTTGAATGGTGGGGGAGTAAGGGGGTATTATACATTGTTTCTTTTCAAGTTAGATCATGGTTTTGGGATATATGGGGTTTGTTTTTCTTGACTGGTATGCACTTAGAGTTTGCTTTTTCTTGCTAAGTTCCATTACAACTTTTGGTCCTTTCCCTTTGGCACTCGTGCTTATATATTTACAATACTATATTAATGTGCTTTAATATTCTACCATAGTATACCAGTCAGAGGCCATTGCGTATTTTGGGGAGTGGATCAGTCGGTACCAGATTGGCTAAAAGAGTATAATGGCACCCAAGTCCGTCGAGAAATGACACGTAGAGTTAATGGAGTGGTAGATCGCTACCGGGGAAGGTACTAAGCGAATGATTTTAACACAAATGCAATTTACATTCTTAGGTTTGTCAGTTTTTATATTTAACCACGATTTACCAGTTGAAATGATTGTAGGTATGGACACCATTGTTTGGGTAAGTACCGATATTTAACGATTAATCAGTAAAATGAATGCTTTTATTTATTGTTTATTGGATACTAAATTCAGGTTGGCCCACTGGGATGTTTATAATGAAGCGCTTCATGGGTTCTTCTTTGAGGACAAAACACGAGATGTAAATATAATCCTCGAGATGTTTAGAGAGACAAGAGAAGTCGATCCTGGAGTCAAGTTATTCCTGAACGATTACGCAGTATCTAGGGAAGGTATTTTAACCCAGGTATGTACTATGGGAAAAGGTGTCTGTGAGTGTAGCTGATGAAAATCAAATGGATGGCGCAACAAAAATTCAAATCAGAGCAACAAACTTTTAGAGTGCAATAAGTAGATGTGAAACTCAATTTATCTCAGTCCACTACTTTCGTTATGACCGAGCAAAACGCCCACAACATATTGGTAAATGTATGACGGTTTAAATTAAATGAGAAACTCTTCTAATAAATAATACTGTTCAAACATTTATAGGCTTACGCAAACCAAGCTGAATTCTTGAAAGGTAACGGATATGACATTTCCATTGGCGTACAGGGTCATTATAAGACTGGATTCGCCCCTGACATCCATTTGATCGCCGTAAGTAATATTTGTCATATTTACTTCTAACGTTAACAGCTGCTTAAATATTTAGTCCCAATTATTAGTAAACTTGAATGTAATATAATGTATATGTGTTGTATAATCATATCCTTGTTTTAGAACTGCAAAATAGCAAAACAGTCATGTGCATAACCTTCCATTTTATATTTTTTCATTTGTTGATGTTGGTTGGAATGTTGGGAGCATTAATACAAACCAAAATATTAATAGTACAATAACGTCATTTCTAATGGCAATATAGTGAAATATTGGATCGACGGCCGAAGGCCCAAGGTCCAATATTTCACTATATTGCTCGCAGAAATGACGTTATTAGTATTCCCTAGAACTGGCCCGGCAAGGTGGTAATAATAATATTTATAACTTACCCATTTTAATTTTCTTTGTTTTAGGTTTATTGTATCGATCACCTTTGAGGCTTTAAGTTATGAACTTCTCTGTTTTCTCATTTACTCAATTGTGGATTTCAGAAAAGAATGGATATTCTTGCTGGGGTGAGTGTCCCTGTTTGGATAACTGAAATGGATGTGGAGAATACGAACCGGGATGTGCGAGCAGCAGACTACGAGAAACTATGGCGATTTATGTTTTCTCATCCATCCGTCGACGGGATCATGCTGTGGGGATTCTGGGACCAGGCGCATTCTAAACCACAAGCTGCTCTTGTCGAGGGCAACGACTTAACCGTGAGTGGATGCCGGGAGTGGATGTCGTGTTTCGTTTAATGATATTTAGCGCGCCAACCAACCAAACCATTTTTACGGCTAAAAAGATTCCATGTTGATTGCACTGGCAATGTCACACAAAAAGACATATGTTGATTAGTCGAGAACTTACATGTTCTGTAAACCACTTGCAGTCTCCAAAAGAAAATGTTTGAAATTAGCATTGAGTTTAGGCTGGTATTGTTCACCACATGTACATCAATATATTGTAGCCAAATGCTGCTGGTTTAGCTTGGCAGAGGGTGACTCAAGAAGAATGGAGTACAAACCAAGATCTTTCGCCAAATGGTGCTGTCCAAACCTTTAACTTGCGTGCATTCCATGGAGAATTTGATTTAACAGTCAAGGTGAACGGCGCAGTGCGTGAGACGCAGTCATTCAGTGTCTTGAAGAACGCTGGCCATGTGACAATTGATGTCACCCTGTAAGCACCTTGGTTAGATAAGGAGCCATGCTTTTGATTTGCTTGTATTTGATCGGTGTTAATAAAGGCAATTATGAATATAAGGCTTTCTATTTTTCTGTCGCCTCATCCTCCTAAGCAGGTTTCCAGAATCCGTACCCCCTTCTTCCGGTAAAAAGAAAGAATATATTCTGGATTTTGAAGCGCTAGCCCTGTGATCGGAGGATGCTGTCGCCTATGTTAAGATCAAAATCTTTAAGTGCAGTGATGAGCAAGTTGCAAAGCCGGCGCTATTAGGAATTGATAAGGGGAGGTACGTACGTGTAGTATTATAAGGCTTTTATTTAAAGATTAAAATATTATTGAAAGTGTATGTCACTGGAAGCTTGCCATTAGCTTTCAGTTTAGCTGCTTTGCCTATTTGCATAAGATGGATAAATCAAAATCAATTTTACATCCTACTAATTCGTTAAATCGTAAAGTAAATCATTATTGATTTTAATTTTGGATACATTTTTTCTCCATTGGTCCAGTCAGATTCGTTTATATTTTATTTTAAGGAATGGAACAGCATTGTTTCGACCACCCCGTCAATGTCTGCCATGGTTCGTGTAAGTATAAGTTTGTCGATCGGGTTACGTAATCAACTAAACCATAGCCAGCATACAAATAGAACTAATCTCTATGAAAAAGTACTTTATTCAAGTAATTCAAACTTCAAGACACATTGCATGAAAATTACCTAATTTATGTTTCAGGTAAATGCTCATTGGATTATTATGTTTGCGTCTTTCTACTGGTTCTTGATGAAAGAATCCCAATGAAATAGCACAACTGGCATGGGTGTGGCCACCCTTCTCTTGACATTTGATGGCTACGCCTTTGTCTGGAACCGAAATTGAAATATTAATGGTTGCGAGATACGATCCTTCTCAAAAGGCTATAATCGCTCTTTCAGCCCTTCATTTGAGACCTTATACTTTTATTTCAGCTCAGTATCTTATTTGGTGAAAGCACTTCCTTCTGCTCACAACCCCTGATGAAATCCAAATTAAATTAAATTTGGGCATCAAGATTGAATTAAATTAGTGAACATATTAACTATTAACTTGGAATATATAAAACAAAAACAGGAATGGATAGATAGCGCTTTCTGTACTTTATCAGACATGTAAGGAGAAGCAGTATTTATACATCTTTCAATAAGATTCCTGTTAATGTTTTGTATGCTAATAGAGCTAGGTCGACTGAAAGATGGCAGTATTGTTTGGTTTATTTATTCATATCTTTATATTTTTATCTCTTGATCTCTACATCAAGGAGATTTGGCTCCCGGGGTTCCAACTCGTTATTCTGACATATATGGATAAATCATGATTACAAAATTCGAATTCAAACGGCCTCCATTTTGTTCACCTCAGAATTTGAATCGCGAGTTTTGGTTTTATATCCAAACATAAATCCCAAAACACACAAGAAGTGATCGAAAAATCTTTTAGACTTGATTATGAATCTATAATCAGTTATAATGTCAGATTGTAAGAAAATAACGACATTCTGACATTTACATTGTTGGAACTATCGAATTGCGTCCCTTGAATTCGGCAAACATCCCTCATACAAGTCAATGAACAGGTCAATACGCCTTTTTTATTTCGAGTTATGGATTTGTGTGGTCCCACTGGCCTTTATGAGGTTCAAAAGAATACATATAAAAGTCCAGGTGTAAAAGGGTAGGAGGTCCTATTAATTAATTGTCCTACTCTCCGTCGATTTATATGTTGGCCTCTTTTTGCTCTTTCCCTCAGTATCTTATACACAATCAGGGCCAGTAAGGGCCATTAAGAAATAGGACCATAATCCCTGGGGGACCATCATTTCTTTCACACAGGACGTATTTTTCACATATTTATAACATTAGATTGTTATTGATTTTGATAAACAATATTCAAATTTTGAAAGTAACTAATATTATTATTATTCCATACATATGAACAACAGTGTATATAAAAAGGTTTTCACGTCTCACTAACGTGGACTGGCTTAACCTTTTGGTGATAAAGTTATTAAACAATACTTGAAATTCATGTCGATTGTTGTTTATGTGTTTCTAAAGTGAATTAACTTTATATTCAAGGACGTTGTTGCCCAAGTATAGTTAGTACATGAAGAGCCGTTCGTTAAGTTAAGCCAGGTCTTCTCTATCTCAGCCCGGTGTCAACATTTATAAAGACCGTAGTAAATACGATGGTCCCCTTGTCCTGGAAAATATCGTCCGGCACTATATTTTCTATAATAACAAGGTCGATGGACTATATTTCCTTAAATATTTTAGTCCGTTTGCTAGAATTGGGTGTCTGGGACGGACTTTAAATACCAAATTATGGTATCTTAATTACTCGTCACACTGGACCATATTGTCTGGTTATAAATGTCCATGGACATGTATACAAGTATAAATGAATTCTACCAAAACCAAGTGCATCCAATTTTAGAATTATTTTATTCCCTCACAAACAAAGAAATCAAACGGGCATTAATATTAAAAATAATCTCATGAAACCGAGGAAACGAATATACCAATGCATTTTAGTTCCATTTTATGCAGAATATAGGAAAGAAAAAAAACAGGATAGTCTGGGAGTCGATTCACACCATAGGCGCTAGAAGACTGTTCTAGCCCCTACACTTACGGTGATTGGATGCAAGCAGTGTTTTTAATTCATTGATGCAAGTATACAGTACTACTGTAGTACGACATATATACCTTTAAAAATAAAGATAACAGATAGGACCAAAATCTAGCCGGACAATCCATTCGTTCAAGTGTCCGTCAGTATATATAGTCCTGGGTTATATTATTTTATTTTTTACCAATACAGAAAATATGGTCCGGTTGGGGCCACACACCTCCGAACCTGGTGTCCTAGGATGTATGGTCCCCCGGGCCATATATTCAGGGAGACTATATATTTACTCTGACAGGGATCTAAAATTATCTCAACCCCAGTGAAGGTCAATTCAGTAAAACTTAACCCCTGTAAAACTCAACCATATTCCTTTAAATACCTTGTTTGAAATATTCAGTTCATTTATTATGAAAATCAAGCATTTTGTTTGACATTTTATAATAAAAATAATGTTTTGTTAATTATTAGAAACAGTCTAGGTCAGTGGTAATCCACCAAGTTGTCACAATCAATCGATTTAGCAATATACATGTATTTAACATTAAATAGACGATTTGGAAAATATAATGTTGGCAACTAACGTATTTTTATAACTTTTTTATTACATGTTTAAATGGAATCGTACATGAATTAAGGAACAGCAATTCATGTTCCAGATTTAAAAATGATCAAGTTTAGAGTGTTAGGCATTGCCACAAAACAATCAAACTTATTAGTAGGGTTACGAAGTAAAAAGATGGGTCTTACAATTGCAATGTAAGATCTTAAAAATAATATTCTAATGCGCAATTGTCAGATTCTGTTAAACACACTAGAGGAAAAACTATACACTTTTTCTTGCTACAAATTATATATCTTTTCCAGTTGATTAATCATTTTTAAAAAATGAAACTCCAGCTTTGCCATCATTAGAAATTTGGGTCCATCCTGGTCAAGTGTCGGTTTTATCAATTTTTTAAAAAGCCTCCGGTGCGTATACGTCAACGCAGTCTTTGATATCTGCAAAGTAGAATATATTTGGACGTAACGAAATGCCAATGATAAAAAGGCCAATGAGCGAAACATAACTATAGACTACCCCATAATCCACCTTTCTTGTTTCAAATCAAATCAAAAATAAAACCTACTCCAATTACGGCAGAGAGTTGAGAACGTTCCATCTGACTGCAGTTCTCTTAGACACTGGGCAAACCATTCCATGTCCACGTCTTTTCGACTCATTACACCAGACGGGCCTTCCTTACAATACAAGACATCTCCAACTGCCACCAAACCGGACATATTTTCAGGAGTGACCGAATCAGTCTGAACTAGAACAGCTTCAAACTGAAAGAAACCAATTGTTAACTTGATATGATATCATTTACGATAACTACATAACAGTCCAATGCCAAAGCGTAGCTAATTCAATCAAAATCTGACCAACGGTATTTGAGTTATCGCCCGGACGGACGGATTGATGTACGACGAATTTTGTTCAATGGGATAATCAAAACACGGTAAGCACACACGGAAGATTGAACATATTTAATGTAACACCTTGTTTTAGATTCTATTGTTTTATAACAGTCGTGCATCATGTCCCTGGTCTCCAACCCCTACTCCGTCAAGTTCGACTAGTGTAGGTAAGTTGGTTAAACATTTGAAGCAAGTCTACATCCAAGACCACTCGGGACGCAGACAAAATTGATAAACTGCACTTACGTCACCATTTCGGAGAGCATCTATCATGTCAGACCAATCTCCAAACTCCCTCATAACCACGTCATCATCATTAATAGGGAACCCTCTAGCCCTGAGGCAATCTTGTTGAAGATTCCAGAATTTACGCACACCTTATCAGAAGAAACAAAATTTCCCTTCCATCAACTTAACTTATTCATTTGATGAAATAACTTGGCCGGGGCTCCCAATTGCCATTTTGGCCAATAGAGAGATTTAGATACACGTTTTTAAAAAACTTGAACGTGTAGAAGGGTATCTTGTTAATATAGACTACCTTTTTGATTCAGTTTGTATTACTAATAAATGCCTTTAAAATGACAATCATATGAAGATACAATCAAAACTTTACTCACCAAGTTTCCCCTTCGATAGATCTGCCATTGACGTTATTCCAGAATCTGCTCTCGCGTAAATCTGCCCACCAACATCCTTCTGGATCCCTCCAGCAAACTTTAGCACGTTCATTCTGGTAAATGTTGGCGAGTAACCAGGGCAAGCGTCAAAATGACGGTCCATTAGACCTAAAAAGCAAGCGGCGTATACGTTACTTAAGATGATACTTTGCATATACCGCTGTCTGTAGCTGATGGTAATTTTATAAGTGGCGATGAGAATGATCAAATGTTAATGTAATTTTGGATGGAACGCGTCATTGGATGCGGACATTATAATTAAACAAGCAGAAACGACGTTTTTACCAAAAACAATGAATATGGGCCTTTGTACGAATTGAAGCGGCTTTGTGGGGAAAGACCGATTCTTTCACCTGATTTATTGTTGAATATTCTATTTTAAATGGGGTTCAGAAATATGCACTACATACCATCAGCACTTAGTTCTTCACCATCCCAGCATACGCTCCAGCTTTTTATAAGTACTATGTCGCACTGTCTGCCACAGACTCGGCACGTCTCTGCGATTAACATATGCATGAAACCCTCAGAGGCACCAGTGACTTCATTTCTTAACAGATGAATGATAATAAAATATGATTCAACATTAAAAACTAAATTTAATTTTGATCTCCATTTGGATCCTTGGTAAAGGTTCGAGTAGGGTTTAGGTATAAACTATGGAGTGAAATGAAGTTTCGAAGTATCAATCGAGTAACCATTGATAATGAAGAAGAATCTAGAAGAATAGTACAACTGGTTTTCTAACCCAAAGGCAATTGTTTCCTTTCATTGAAATCTCCTGTCTCATCATCATTTATATAAACCGTATCTGTTAGTGAGTACGTAGCTATTACGATGTTTCAGTTGCTCAAGCGTTTGGTCCAGCTTCACCTTTTCACAGATATCTTAGATTTTGTTTCCGGTCATGAAAGCGGTTTCGAAATTGCATGGTTTTGCTTAATCCATCAATCCATGACGTTATCAATGCTTATGGGGGAGTGTTTATAGAATGACATATATTATTCTTCTAAGAAAAAATCTTGAAAGAACCTTCCTCGAATAGAAAGCTAGTTACCATTTTAATAAACCATAAATACAGATCAGGTTTGGGCACCTGCAGTAATCTAGGAATTTATTTTCAGACTTATTTGCATTTGTTACTACGGCTTTCATTAAGTCTTTTGGACTCGTTTCAAAATTATAATTCTTTTGAAAGAATTCGAAGCTGTAGCTATAAGTTGTTATTTACACTGAGGATCGGAGCTAATACATCGGGTTAAATACGAATCTCTGTTCAAAATGGACAACATCAAACCATTGGACATTGTATACACAATACACATGGACAAACAAAAAATAACGAATCCGTAAAACTGAAAATGATCATCACAAAAGGAAAATGACAAAAAATTGTGTTCGACTAATTCATGTTTCTACTTACATGTAGGAGTATGGGGGCCAGTCACCTGTAATCGCAAATAGATGGGTCTTGTTCTGTCTGTTCATTCGTCCATCTGGTTCATTGGGTTGTTCACCCGTAGGTGGTTCTACTCGAATACAAGCATGTGCCAACCCAAGCACAACAACTCCTATCACCAAACTTGCTGAGAAAGACATTTTCCAAAAATGACTGAAAAAGAATTAAAAATGAATTAGATTCAATTGAATTAAATGAAATTAAGACATTGATTTAATTGTTAATGAATGTGTTTTTTAATTTGATGTCTTCCCTTTGTCTGATCCGAACTGATGCAACCAGATCAAACATTTGTTTTTTCAAATCTACAGGCCTCTGAATTCAGTTACAAACAAACAATTACAGTTGTGATTAGCTTAAACATATTATATGGGTCTTCAACAATTTTTATTTAAATTGAGCAATTCCCAAAATCGTTTTTGTAAAATCAATAGAAGTTAAAGTGTTTTAGTGGCGTTACCCCCAAGCGTTTGAGCAATTATTGATATGACTACAGGTAAGAAAAGGTGTAGTAACTTCCAAATGCATTATTCAGTGGGTGTACATACTGTAACAAAATTTTGAATTTTTGATTTTGTGCTGTGAACTCGTTTTTATACATTTATTACACTTGATTTGTGGTTTACATGTGAGATCATTATGATCTTAAATTGTAGTATCGTTTGCAGTACTTTAGTTGTAGTTACAGTGGTGAAATAGCGTTTTCCTGTTATCCAATTAAGATTTAGTTTATGTTGATCGGGTAGTCGCTCGGGTAGTTTAAATGGAGGTTGCTATTTTTAGAATTTACTTCCTGCTTTTGATTCTATCAAATCGAAGTAAAACTAGAGTAAGTAGCGATCAATTAATGTTAGATTTGTTGAGTTCCAATTATTATCTTGTTGTAGGAGCAATATTTAAGCGGGATATGGCGTCAATAACTTGTTATTTAGCTTTGAAATCTTGTCCAAAAAGTGATGACGTCACCAAGCCTATATAAGTATTTCGCCAATGTAAACTCAGCAGATTACAGCTAGCTTTCGTTCGGGACAGAGCTCTGTTCAATTTCATATTTTTATGTGAAGTTGGACTTAGTCATTTTTCAAGGAAATATTTTTGGACTTTGACAATTTTCAGTAGAAAGTTGTTGGGACTTTGAGTATATCCCGAGGCAGATAGGAGATACATAGCTACACTTCAGTTCAATGGATGATAACTTGGACATCTACCTGTGATGAAGGATACCTGAGAGGGAAGACTGCTACACCGTGATTCTGTAGATGATAACTTGGCCATCTACCCGTGTATTTGTGTAGAGGATACCTCAAGAGGGAATATTCAGTACCGTGTATGGAGGCAGCATCAAGCCTATACTCGATTTCTGAGCTCTGTCCGTTCAATTTCATGAACACATGAAATTGGACTTTGCGTATTTTTGGGATAGAAATTATTGAACTTAGTCAATATTTGGAGAAACATTATTTTGGACTTTGTTTTTTTGGAGAATAAATATTGAACTTAGAATATTTCAATATCAGTATAACTCAACATTAACTGAACTTAGTTATTTTCAAGGGCACATATTTTGACTTGTAATATTTTTGCCTATGCTGTTGTGCGCATGCTATATTTTTAGGTAGGCTGATTACTTAATTGTGAAGGAAGTTTGTGTACTTAGCAGTTGATGCCATATAAGACGTTCGTAAACTTTGTCAATTGCGATAGTTTGACTTAGATTATTTCGCATAATCAAAGTTGAATTATACTACAATACAGTGAGGAGGATCCGGGAGATAGCCATTTACAGAGCCGATAGTTTGACTTAGATTATTTCGCATAATCAAAGTTGAATTATACTACAACACCTTGAGGAGGATCCAGGAGATAGCCATTTACAGAGCCGATAGTTTGACTTAGATTATTTCGCATAATCAAAGTTGAATTATACTACAACACAGTGACGAGGATCCAGGAGATAGCCATTTACAGAGCCGATAGTTTGGCTTAGATTATTTCGCATAATCAAAGTTGAATTATACTACAACACCTTGAGGAGGATCCAGGAGATAGCCATTTACAGAGCCGATAGTTTGACTTAGATTATTTCGCATAATCAAAGTTGAATTATACTACAACACAGTGACGAGGATCCAGGAGATAGCCATTTACAGAGCCGATAGTTTGACTTAGATTATTTCGCATAATCAAAGTTGAATTATCCTACAACACAGTCAGGAGGATCCAAGAGATAGCCATTTACAGAGCCGATAGTTTGACTTAGATTATTTTGCATAATCAAAGTTGAATTATACTACAACACAGTGAGGAGGATCAAAGAGATAGCCATTTACAGAGCCGATAGTTTGACTTTGATTGTTTCGTATAATTAAAGTTGAATTATCCTAGCTACAACACAGTGAGGAGGATCCAGGAGATAGCCATTTACAGAGCCGATAGTTTGACTTAGATTATTTTGCATAATCAAAGTTGAATTATACTACAACACAGTGGAGGATACTACAACAACGTGAAGAGAATCCATATTTTCATTGGAAGCAAGACACAAGACAGTTGCTGAGTTTACAGTGGATGGAACTGGATATCCCCTTCATCATCTTGGTCGTGGGTGGAATTTTATTTGTACTTTTATGTTTGATGTTAGTCATATGCTCCCAGGTGTGTATTAAGATTCAAGACGAAGAAGCGCCTGTTCCAGCAGTTCCAATACCCCCTACGCCAACCCCTGCTTTAAAATCCACACCAAGCTTCAGCATGAGTACTATGAATTTTGTGTAAAGTTGCTTCCCAAAATTAGGAGACAAGACTTTGTTACTCTCAGCTTACTATTCCAGGTTCAAGATACAATAACAATACAAGACGTACAAGTGGTACAATTTACATGAACTTTGCATATTCGGGATACAACAGTGTTATATAGTGATCATCAGTCTCAATTTATATGGACTCTGGATATTATTTTATCAGTGATAATTACTATTAGCTCATATGGACTTTTGAGTTGTGAGTTTTGAGAGAAATAATAACACCGTAATATTCTTACATTACATTTGAAATTGCATGTACATCTTATTTGGGCTTATAAACGCCACAATATATTGTTTTATATTATATATATAAAATTGTATATTTTGTTTATTTCTTTAGGGACAAAGCACATTTAACGTGTGCCGTGCAATCCACAAGTAAACACCATTTACTAAACAGTGGTCTTTTTATCAGCCACACTACCACATATCCACAAAAAAGGCCAAACTGTTACACTGGTGGCAGCGGTGGGATTGATTGTGTCTGAAGATTTAAACCAGAGGTGCATTATACAGTTTCAAGATGGATCCAGAGCCCAGTCTCCCATATCCGAAGCGTGGAGATTATGTAGATATTGAAGGGGAGACTTCTGTATATGTGAAAACATATTCTGGGGAATTAAGGAATCCTGGAGCTAAGGATCCAATGAGAGAAGCTGAGGAGAGAGGATTGTCTAGTAGTTTAGGCACAGGGTATTGGTCTAGAGGACTGACCAATTTAGAGTCCAAGCGAATCCCTTCAATAAGGATAAGATGAATCCTACCATGAGAAGACAGAGTCCAAGGACATCTACCATGATTGATCCGCCTTTGACTAAGAGCCAGTCAGAGGATGTAGTGAAACAAGAGTTAACTATGGTGGAAGGTCAGCTTCAAGATCAGTTGTCTGTTTTTGGGAATATTGAAGAGGCACAAAAGAAACAGTTCGATAATATTAGAGAGACCCAACAAAGACAAACTCATAGTAGGAGTCGAATAGCAGAGCAAATTGAAGAGAACAGACATATGCAACAAATTAGAGAAGAGCAACAACAAATAAGAGAAGAAAAACGACAGATAAGAGGTGAGAAAAAAGAGTATCTGTTGCAGGCGATCCTCGAAAGATTACAGAGTAATACGAAAGCAGCTAGTACAGAGACCAAGTCTAATGGTGTTTTGTATGCAGGGAAGGCTATTGATAATGACTTGTATGTAACTCCAAGTGGAGCTCGAAGGGGAGCACAATGGTCGCCTCCATTGTCTATGAGTCGGGTTCAGCATAATGAAGAGTGTTTTACACCTGAACTCCCTACTCCAGAAAGGAGGCCATGGAAGTTGGAGAGACGAGACAGATTTTACACAACTCCAACACACCCGCCTGCTGGTAGAGACCAGCGAGATCCTACCGGGATACACTGTAAACAAGAGGATGTTTGTGCTTCAGAGAGCAAGTATGCTACACAGGAAATTGTAGGCCCAAGGAAGGGGCATGTTCAAAGGAACCATGAATCCGAGAAACAGTTTCCTGTTGATGAACATAAATTCAAAACAAAAGTTCCATGTGGTGATTCAGCGAATGAGAAGAGTGGAAAATTTTATCCCAATTTCCCCAGTGAGTCAATGGACTTAATGAAGATGTTAAGTCAGATGTCCAAACCTAGGAACAGGATAAAGCCTGAGACTTACAATGGTACAACTCCTTGGCCAGAGTACCGAGCTCACTTTGAGATATGTGCTAAAGCTAACAGCTGGACTTCAGAAGAGAAAAAATGAATACTTAGCTACCAGTCTGCGAGGCACCGCCCAGCAGATTGTGTTGGAAATGGAAGCTGAGTACACATATGACCAGTTAGTTTTAGCCTTGGAGAAGAGATATGGGCCAGAAGGAAAAGCTGAGATATATGAGGCTGGATTACTTGGGCGAGTGAGGAAGCCAAATGAATCATTACAAACTTTAGGACAGGATATCAGGCGACTTACAGCATTGGCATATCCTGAGATGAGTAGGTCGGAACAGGACCGATTAGCAAGGCGTAGTTTTGAGCAGGCGATTGCAGAGGATGACATACGCCGAGCAATACATGTTAATGAATGTACTTCATTGGATAAGGCGATTGAAATAGCCCTAAGAGAAGAATCTTATCTGGGATCAGAAAGAATACGGAGAGGATCGAAGCCTCAATACAGTCATGTGAATGTTTTGGAAGAAAAAGAAGACCAATTAAAGAACATCACCCGGCTGTTAGAAGAGTTATGTAAAAAGCAGGAGGAAGATCGGAAAAATATGGAACAAGATCGCAAAAACTTCGAGAAAGATCGAGAAAATTTTGAGAAAAGAATCAAGCAACTTGAACAACAGATCCAGTCAAATGAATCCAGAAGAAATGGCTTTAACCGACTTGGCTGCTTTTATTGTCACAAAACCGGTCATCTAATTGCTGATTGTTACACTAGAAAACGTGCAGAAGAAATCAAGGAAGCTAAAGAGAGGCAGAGTCTTGCAACAGTAAGGTTCCAATCACTACAAGGGAAGGACGTCAAATCTTCAAGAGATACTAAGAGAATCGTGGCTTCTGGAAAAGTTTGTGACACGAATGTTGAATTCCTTGTAGACTCGGGTGCAGTTAGTAGTATATTGAGTTTAAAGATCTATAGAGAGATCCCTGAAGACATAAGACCCGAGCTTGAGCCACAAAAGAGAATCATTTTGCAAGCTGGTGGAGAACCTTTAGCTGTTGCAGGTGTTATGCACGTTGACCTACACATAGATGATCGTAAACAAAATTTAGAAGTAGTCGTGGCTGACATTGAGTTTGATGGAATTCTGGGAAGCGATTATTTAGCAGCTTCAAGGGCAATATTGGACTATGGTAAATGTTCAATGACTTTTGGACCAGAGAGTTCAAGTGCTGCTCAGATAGTAGGAGATACCGAACCGTCAGCCAGCCTGCCGAGTGAAACCAAGGACAAGCGGATTCTTGGAAAAAGAGCAGTCAATCCTGCAGGGAAAGTAGCTCATCAACCGATAGCATCAAAGAAGAGGACCTTGGATTTACCAGATGGTCACCCGTTTCATGAGCAGAGACATGGCAGGGACAGGAGATTGAACAAAGTCCCTGGACACCGAGGTAACGAACAAAGTACTTCAAGTCATGGAGGCATTCCAAGTACTTATCGAGTGAAGGTGCCTTTGGTTAGAATATATCGTGGGAGATATCAGAGGCCTCGGCAGAGGAGCGATATAGATGCTAACTGGAGGAAGGGTTCCTAGAACCAAACAGCAACTTTACAGCAGAGTTGTGATTTTATAGCTAACTTGTTAAGAGACTTAAGTCGCAAGTCACCCGTAGCTGGAAGTTGTAGTTTCTGTAAATAGTAGTTAGCATTTCATGTAGTTAGCTAGAGATTTTTGTTTTGGACATTTAATAGTTTTAAGAAAGCATAAGATAGTACTAATGTGTCCAGGATTTCACAATCTTACATGTACATGGTGCTAGCAATTAGTTAGCAACTAGTTGCACACCATTGTACAGTTGTATTTTGTTAAGGTAGCTAAGTTAGCAAAATTTTGTTATTTTTTTTGTACTTTAAGCTTGGTGTTGTAAACACCAAAATCTTTGGATTGGAGGAGTGTAACAAAATTTTGAATTTTTGATTTTTGATTTAGTGCTGTGAACTCGTTTTTATACATTTATTACACTTGATTTGTGGTTTACATGTAAGATCATTATGATCTTAAATTGTAGTATCGTTTGCAGTACTTTAGTTGTAGTTACAGTGGTGAAATAGCGTTTTCCTGTTATCCAATTAAGATTTAGTTTATGTTGATCGGGTAGTCGCTCGGGTAGTTTAAATGGAGGTTGCTATTTTTAGAACTTACTTCCTGCTTTTGATTCTATCAAATCGAAGTAAAACTAGAGTAAGTAGCGATCAATTAATGTTAGATTTGTTGAGTTCCAATTATTATCTTGTTGTAGGAGCAATATTTAAGCGGGATATGGCGTCAATAACTTGTTATTTAGCTTTGAAATCTTGTCCAAAAAGTGATGACGTCACCAAGCCTATATAAGTATTTCGCCAATGTAAACTCAGCAGATTACAGCTAGCTTTCGTTCGGGACAGAGCTCTGTTCAATTTCATATTTTTATGTGAAGTTGGACTTAGTCATTTTTCAAGGAAATATTTTTGGACTTTGACAATTTTCAGTAGAAAGTTGTTGGGACTTTGAATATTTCCCGAGGCAGATAGGAGATACATAGCTACACTTCAGTTCAATGGATGATAACTTGGACATCTACCTGTGATGAAGGATACCTGAGAGGGAAGACTGCTACACCGTGATTCTGTAGATGATAACTTGGCCATCTACCCGTGTATTTGTGTAGAGGATACCTCAAGAGGGAATATTCAGTACCGTGTTTGGAGGCAGCATCAAGCCTATACTAGATTTCTGAGCTCTGTCCGTTCAATTTCATGAACACATGAAATTGGACTTTGCGTATTTTTGGGATAGAAATTATTGAACTTAGTCAATATTTGGAGAAACATTATTTTGGACTTTGTTTTTTTTGGAGAATAAATATTGAACTTAGAATATTTCAATATCAGTATAACTCAACATTAACTGAACTTAGTTATTTTCAAGGGCACATATTTTGACTTGTAATATTTTTGCCTATGCTGTTGTGCGCATGCTATATTTTTAGGTAGGCTGATTACTTAATTGTGAAGGAAGTTTGTGTACTTAGCAGTTGATGCCATATAAGACGTTCGTAAACTTTGTCAATTGCGATAGTTTGACTTAGATTATTTCGCATAATCAAAGTTGAATTATACTACAATACAGTGAGGAGGATCCGGGAGATAGCCATTTACAGAGCCGATAGTTTGACTTAGATTATTTCGCATAATCAAAGTTGAATTATACTACAACACCTTGAGGAGGATCCAGGAGATAGCCATTTACAGAGCCGATAGTTTGACTTAGATTATTTCGCATAATCAAAGTTGAATTATACTACAACACAGTGACGAGGATCCAGGAGATAGCCATTTACAGAGCCGATAGTTTGGCTTAGATTATTTCGCATAATCAAAGTTGAATTATACTACAACACCTTGAGGAGGATCCAGGAGATAGCCATTTACAGAGCCGATAGTTTGACTTAGATTATTTCGCATAATCAAAGTTGAATTATACTACAACACAGTGACGAGGATCCAGGAGATAGCCATTTACAGAGCCGATAGTTTGACTTAGATTATTTCGCATAATCAAAGTTGAATTATCCTACAACACAGTCAGGAGGATCCAAGAGATAGCCATTTACAGAGCCGATAGTTTGACTTAGATTATTTTGCATAATCAAAGTTGAATTATACTACAACACAGTGACGAGGATCCAGGAGATAGCCATTTACAGAGCTGATAGTTGGACTTTGATTATTTCATATAATTAAAGTTGAATTATCCTACAACACAGTGAGGAGGATCCAGGAGATAGCCATTTACAGAGCCGATAGTTTGACTTTGGTTATAATATAATTAAAGTTGAATTATCCTACAACACAGTGAGGAGGATCAAAGAGATAGCCATTTACAGAGCCGATAGTTTGACTTTGATTGTTTCGTATAATTAAAGTTGAATTATCCTACAACACAGTGAGGAGGATCCAGGAGATAGCCATTTACAGAGCCGATAGTTTGACTTAGATTATTTTGCATAATCAAAGTTGAATTATACTACAACACAGTGGAGGATACTACAACAACGTGAAGAGAATCCATATTTTCATTGGAAGCAAGACACAAGACAGTTGCTGAGTTTACAGTGGATGGAACTGGATATCCCCTTCATCATCTTGGTCGTGGGTGGAATTTTATTTGTACTTTTATGTTTGATGTTAGTCATATGCTCCCAGGTGTGTATTAAGATTCAAGACGAAGAAGCGCCTGTTCCAGCAGTTCCAATACCCCCTACGCCAACCCCTGCTTTAAAATCCACACCAAGCTTCAGCATGAGTACTATGAATTTTGTGTAAAGTTGCTTCCCAAAATTAGGAGACAAGACTTTGTTACTCTCAGCTTACTATTCCAGGTTCAAGATTCAATAACAATACAAGACGTACAAGTGGTACAATTTACATGAACTTTGCATATTCGGGATACAACAGTGTTATATAGTGATCATCAGTCTCAATTTATATGGACTCTGGATATTATTTTATCAGTGATAATTACTATTAGCTCATATGGACTTTTGAGTTGTGAGTTTTGAGAGAAATAATAACACCGTAATATTCTTACATTACATTTGAAATTGCATGTACATCTTATTTGGGCTTATAAACGCCACAATATATTGTTTTATATTATATATATAAAATTGTATATTTTGTTTATTTCTTTAGGGACAAAGCACATTTAACGTGTGCCGTGCAATCCACAAGTAAACACCATTTACTAAACAGTGGTCTTTTTATCAGCCACACTACCACATATCCACAAAAAAGGCCAAACTGTTACAATACTTATTGATTTGAAAAAATGAAAATAAACTGAAAAATGGATTTTGAAAACTTACCTCTCTTCTCCGTATTGCTCAGACTTCAATTTCCAAGCTCTCTGACGATAAAATATAAGTGAATATACAAATATATATTATTTCACTTCAACGCATGCCATTTAAAGACTTTCGGAGATTACAAAGCTCAAATAACAACATTGGCATTACCAAAGAGGATTACCTAGATTACCTAACAAACAGACGATTCTTTAGATTTCCTAAAACGGGTAGGCTGTTAAATAGTGCGATTGGTGTGTCCAAAGTCTACAAAACGAAAAACAACACCATTTTAAGATCTACAACTTTGTATTTACCCAATGTGTTGAGCATTATTAAGTTAATTGTAAGTTAATGTTCAAATATCTTGCATACAATGGCCGAGTCGAAAGTGCGTAATTGTAATTATATTTGAAAGGATTAGTTAAGTTTCTTACATAAAAGAATTGCTCAGAGTAAAAACATTATCTCGATTAAACAACCAAAAAACACAACGAGCTGTTTTGAAACTCGGTATAAAATTAAAATATGAACAAAGCGATTTTCCAACTATTAGCTTCGTTTTGTCAAGATTCAGAATTTTCTATTTTGTACGTAAGAATTTTATTGAAATGATGCAAATTGGAGACTTATTTTTCAAGTAGAACTCAAGGTTTTACGACACCCCAACAAGAGGTCTTAGAATTACTTAGTGAGTTGGTCGATGGAGTTAACGATTTGCTCGCTATCCATGACTTATTTAACGAGAGGGTTCTAAGGGGTCTCGTAACGATGTGGTATCTAAACAAATTGATAATGAAAAGTTTTGAGAAACGGCCTCTTGTATAACAAGATACTTAAAGAAAATATTTTCCCTGATATTTGGAAGAAGAGAATATAGTTGTTTTCAATATTTATTAAGTCACATTACGACCTTACTTGTACAAAATATTAAGGATTTAACCCCTGGACTCAGTGCATTGCATGCTGAATCATTTCATTGAAGGTGTTGTTTCCAAATCTTTGCTTGACCGCGCAGCGGGAATGCAAAGTTTAGGAAACAACGCCTGAGTGGAATGAAGCAGCCACAATGCACTGAGTCTTGTGCTTAAATTCTTTTCACACATTGCAAAATATGTTTTGTAAAATCCCCTAAAACATACAAAATCACCAAAAGAACATATTTTCAATGAAAGTTTAAGTTGGCAGAGTATCAATTTCAATATGTGAGTCCAGTTATCACCTTGACAGCCATACAACAAATGCGTTATTGGTTATATAACGGAATGCAGTTACGTGAAATAGCTTTCTCTGATTTGTTGGAATTGGAGACACCTTGCCTGATATGTGTGGATACAGAATTATTTCACATATTTTCCAATATTGGTGTGAAAAAACATTTTTACTTATTGTTATTTCTTAAGAATGTATTATATTATTGTCATTGATTTGTCCCATGTAAGCGTTGTATATTGTAAAGAAAATAACACTTATAAAATAATTCAGGAATTTGGTAAAATTGTCATTGCCGTTGTAACCTAAAATAGTCAAAAATAATTATTCCAAATTATAAAAAGGAGGCGTGTCACACTTGTTTCCAGATCAGTGACTCTCACGCTTAGTCTGTTTGAACCTCAGGATCTTAGATTTTAGCCCAGCGTGAAGTTTTTTATTCACATTAAAATCAACTCAAAATGTAAACGGTTTCAATATAAAACCCCAACCTGAGCCAAAAATTACATAAAGTTTTGGACATTGACTCAAATGTAATGGACTTAGAGAGAAAGCTACTCAGCTGTATTATTATGATCCAACTAAATATGAACACATTTTCTTGCTCCCAATTTGTTTATCCTTAATTGACTCACATAGAAAAAATCGAATGTGAACGCCTTCAAACTACTTGGCTGGTCCCAATGGCGTTCGGATTGGACATGTTTTACTGTACTTATATTTCAATGGGACATCAATAGAAACATTTAAAAATTGTGTGTTTTGACTTCAAATTATGCATGCAGTACCTCCACTTTCAGCATTATTACAGAACTACAAAATTGTTTGGGCCTATAATTGTCGGGCTCATACTTGTTGTTAGAGAGCTTTCGATATAAGTTTTCACAAATTACATACTTGCCAAATATTTTGTTGAGATTTCAAGGATGAAAGCACCCTATCTTCGTTTCCAGTGTTCCTTCCCGGCCAGTGCTATACCTGACTTGTACAAGTACAATTGCAAGTTTGTGTATACGTATTCCAAATAATAACTGATATCGAAAGCTCTCTATTATCAAATGGTACATCCTCAACTATATATGATAATGACAATTTGCTTATTGAAGTTGGCCATCCAGAAACATCGGGATTATCATGCTGGTCTAAATCTACAAGCAGTCGTCTTATTATATACCAAGGAGGTATTGCTTGCCAAAACATGGCGATTAAAATTGCAATAAAATATCGGGCTTTTGAGAAAAAGGTACATTGAATGTTATGAGCAAACAATATGGAAATAATTATAAGCATGTTTCTTAGGGCAATATGGATAGAAGTGGGCCAAACGTAAAAATAAATAATTAAATAGAAACCCAATACAAAATGAACTGATATATAGGTGTAATAGATAGCGTGAAGGTTTCAAATGTGCACTTAAACAACTATTTATGGGGTGTTACAAAACAACATTTTATGTACTGTATTGTGATATAGTGTGATATACTGTGATCTACTATTGTGTTACATTTCAACAAACTATATAATTTTGAGCCAAATATATTTTATTCATTTTATTTCTTTGGTCTTTGTTTCCATGACCTCCTATCTTGAATTTCGAATCTAAACTTAGACACCATGTGGCTTGCGCTTTACATCTGGCGCGCATATCGCCACGTGGTATCTCAATTACCAAACCAGATGCTAGGAAAATGTAGGAGGAAACATCGCTCCATAACAGTATGAGCGTCAGACGATGAAATTATGCAGTATATTATAAAGTTATGTTCATACACTAAGATATTAAATTTTAGGCTCCCTAATTGGTGTATGAATGGATATAATCCATGTTTTTGCAACAGCAATGATACCATGAATTATACAATTGAGCTCTTTAGAGAGACATTATTTCGTACAGTGTTATTTTGAACATGTAATTAGTTTTAAATGAATATAGTTTTTAAAATTTCTAAAATGAAAAAAAAAATTTCTAAATATCAAAATTAATCACGTTTATTAGTAAGGAGTGCTGATTTCAAACGTACACTTCGACATGTAGAAGTTCAACGTAGTCGATCACAGAAGTATCTCGAAGGATAAAGAATGAAGGTTTGGGCCTTTTAGTCTTTCTCAACAGTTTATAATTAAGCTGCCATCGCCACTTGTCCAGTGTTGAGTTTCATATGTTCTGCAAATTAAAACAAATAAAATGAATTAAAGTTTAAATAGAAGTTAATATTTATTTTTGACTCTTTCAATATTATATCAATGACGTCTACATACGTAATAATATGCTAATTGCATGTTAAATAACTGCATTTCACATGCTGACTTGAAAATACCATATACTTTTGTTACTACAATTTGACGGGCTATGTTTACGAGAGATTATTTCTTCAACAATATTTGTATAGTTGCGATAAACATATGATATATTCATTTGATATATGTTGATAAAGTGTATTTTAAATCTAAGCATGCTTACCTTTTTATTTGTGTACTGCGATTACTTTTGCCATGGCCTCAATAAGGTCGATACTGACCACCTCGACCTCTAGGGTCACCATAGCTACCCATCCCATAACCTCCATAGTTACTTCCTCCATACGCTCCATAGCTACTACCTCCATAACCTTCATAGCTGCCACTTCCATAACCTTCCCCATGTCCACCACGGCCTCCGCGTCCCCCACGGCCTCCGCGTCCACCACGGCCTCCGCGTCCACCACGGCCCCCAGCATCTGATCTTGGCCTTGCTTTCACCATTGTTATAATATCGCCATTGAGTTCAAAGCTTCGAATGATCGCTAGCTCATCAGCATAGTCTTCATTACTTAGATCAAGGAAGCCAAACCCTTTGTTCTCGTTTGTTTCTCTATCTTTTATGAGGTCTACCTTTTCAACCGCTTCATCTTTGCGCCCTACTAATAACTTCAAAACTGCGATTTTCACATCCTCAGCTGTAACATCCTTTGACAGGTTCGATATGTGTATTATCTTTGTCTTGCTATGGGCGGCTTGGGAATTCGAATCTCTTGGTATTGCATACTTAACCTCAAGTTCTTTGCCGTCGATTTCATGTGGTTTATTTTGGAGGCAATCAAACGCTTGTTGTCTCTCCTCGAATGTTACAAACCCGAACCCTTTAGATTCTTTTGTGTTAGGGTCAATTATGATAACGACATCCGCCAATGGACCAAATTGTTCGAAATAAGCTTTTGCACTCTCGTCTGTCGTATCTCTATTTAGTCCTCCAAAAAATAATTTTTTTAGAGCTTCCAGATTTGACATCTTCGGTTCTTTGTTAGGCTTTGTAAGTGTCGTGTACCAAATGTACCTTGGATTTGTGTAGCATTATATTTATCATGTACTCGTTTTGCATAATTAGAGGGATGGGCCATTAGCTTGTCGATGATCTGATCTTTATTTTTTCAAATCAGAAATTGAATATACAGAAGGAAAACATTTATTTGGAATACTTTTACAATGCCTAATATTTTTGTGGCAACTTTTATATGCTTTAAAAACTCTAAAATACAATTCTCGTCTATCAAGTCCTGATTTGTATCGGGACAAATCCCGATTTTCAGTCTCTCTCAGATGTACTATGTTTCTCGCTAAAACCCTGTTTTTACTTTGGGGATACCCTGTACACTAAATATCTTGTTATTCAGTTTAATTATCCAAATTGAGTTTGGAAAGAAATGAGTGAAAAGGGTGGAAAGTTTTCCATAATTTTGATAATAGAGTTTTATTGAATGGTGAACAGTAATATGAATAACTTGGCACATACAACAGTAATGTCAGTGTGTGGCTTGGAACATATAACATGTAAAATATATTATCAGGCTTAAATGTATTAATATATTCATGGATCGTGGTGTGTCCCAGTTTTTATTTCTGTGTACGATTTATGATTGTACAGTTATCAGAAAATATTTCATGCAAATATAACACATATGAAACATTATCTCAATAATTGTTACTTTATTTCTAAAAGGATCGGTATCGATATGGTGAACTGAATTCAACAATGTTTTTCTCTTAAACCAATTATTGAAAACATTCTGTAAAGACACGGTCCTTAATGTAGTGTTGACGGTTTGGCAACAATTTAATGCAAAACTTATTTATATATTTTATATAACTGTTTTGTTAAAAATTTGGGGTATTTTTTTAGTGCTATTGTTTTTTGTTCCTTTCTACCAATTCTTGAGAATGGAATAAAATATTTGTATTTTCGAACCTTATTGGAACAAAATAGCATATACAACATTTTCTTAGACCTTTCAATATTACAGTTATGCAAGGGAAATTTTGGTTGATTTTACAAAAGGTGTGCAAAATTAAAACAAAATCTCCAAAATAGATAAAAAAAATAAGATAAACATTTTATTTCATGAACAAGATACCTTTTTAAAATCAACCAAACTTTCCATTGTACAATTACAATATTGAGAGACCTAAACAATGTTTTCATGTCGTTTAGGTTCGGAAAGATGTTTCATTTCATTCCGAACATATGATACCAAGAAAAAAAGAAGTGTCTGACATGTCTTCTAAAACAATACAGAGGAAAGGATACATATACATATGTATATTTCAAATTATAATCTTACCATCCAAAAGATGACCATTAAATTGACGATGTGTAAAATTTTCAGAATGTTTGATGACTGGTTTAAAAGAGAAACGCATGTTCAAAAAGTTCACCATATCGATACCACTCCTTTATGCGATAGGGGATGGGGAGAAGTTTTGATTTTACATTGATTGAAAGCCACATACAGCATACTGTATTTCATGACCATCATAATTGATAGTCAGAATGTTACAGTACTTTAAAGAACATGCCCCAGAAGCCACTATTGCGCTTTAGGCATTCCTTCACACATAGTCAAAAATGTCCCTACATGTGGGGATACGGCAAAGATAGAGTGTATCAGGACAATTGCAAACCTCAAAGTCAGATCATCCGTGTAGTTCAGGCCATACCTGACTATCACTCTGATTGTCATTGAAATATGGTTTGGTGGTCGGAAAGTTTTGACCCGAAAGCCGGAGGTTTTTTCAGCAAATGGTATTTTAAAGAATCGGGACATACACTGGGGGGGGGGGTATCGTGATGCAACAACACCGTGTTGTTGGAGCAAGATGGCCAGCCTTCCGGTGATAGGTTTTCGTACGATATTTTGTTTTCCCAATTTAAATCCATTTCTAAGACGAGTTTCTCAATAACCATACACATGCAGTTAGTGCACTATCTACACCTGTTATATTCTTTAGTATTCTACTGTCTGATAACGATATGAAATAATGCAACCAGGTTTACTATTTAGTTTGGCAATTAAGACTCTGACTTGTTAAGTTTTAATTTGATGTACATGTATGTACATGTATGTTTGTCATCGGTATACATTTACCATCATCAACAATCGATTAATTCACTGTTTTAATTCCTCACTATTGATGCAACAACACCACTATGTTTATTATCAATGATGCAAAAACACCAATGTGCTGATGCAACAACGCGAAAGTCTTTATCAAAGTTAAAAGGATATACAAGCCAAACGATATATATAGTAATAGTATTTAATCACACATAATGATATTGTAGTACATGTAAGTTTACTTTAGTAAGTTAATCACTTTCTAACACCCCAGTCACATTTGTCGTACGGAGACCGTGCGTCGACCGCAGATCAATTAAATCAGTGAATTACTGCGGCGAGCGTAGAAAAACTACGCTCGCCTTGCGGTCTCCGTACGGCTTATCCAGTTTTTTACAGGCCGCAGGGTCGCCGTATAAACTCGGAGTTATAATATTTGTTCATTTCTGAGGTCCCCGTAGAAATCAACTGGCTCAACAAGATTGAATCATTATTTGTCAATGTTTCACGATCACTTTTCATCCTAGCACTATGAATAACATTTATAAATTGTCCTGATGTAAATAAAATTAAAAAAGTATTATTTATCAACAGAAATTTAAAATTCACCATGCGGCTAGGGAAATGTGACTGCAAAAGTATGAGGCCGCAAAAATTCTAAGGCGAGCGTAGAAAAGCTACTGGCCGCAGAAATGATAGACCGCACGGCGGCCGTGGGAAATGTGACTGGGGTGTAAATGCCGGGTTTCCATTTTTGGACCACCCTGTGCACCCAAGATTGTTTTTGTCTCTTGGTCTCTAGATTGATATTAAACATAAGATTTCGAATTGTATTAGGAAAGATCTGATAGTTTGATATGACCTTTCATGGTGCCTACATAGATAAGGCAGACTTTGATGTATCAGATTCTTACTGATTTTTTTCAGAAAAAAAGTCGGGCTAAATCCCAATTGACGAGGTGTGCAAAATCCATTTAATTAGAAATATTAATTATTATAGTTACGTTTAGTTTATTTATTTATTTATAGTGGTCAGTCTTACAATTCAACAAAATATAAAACAATTAATTACAACTTTACCCAGCCCACATTGGGCTTATTAACCACTAATAACAATAGGAAGTGCAGAATTAATACACGAAAATCAATATCACATGTTGTAAATGAATTGCCTTCTCCGCACAAAAGCCATCTAAATAAATTTAACAATTTTATAGGTATGTTCCCTAAAAAGAAATTCAATTTTGCTACCTTCATTATCCAAATCTTTAAAATTTACCTCATCAAGGTATGTTTTTCTCAAATCATCATATCTATTGCAATGGAATAGAAAATGTATTTCTGTTTCAACTGAATTATCCTTACATAGTGTACATAATCTCTCTTCCACATGTTCGCTCAAATTTTGAAAAATTCAATGCTAGGCAAATAGTTTTCCATTAGAGATGTTTCTAACATTTTAAGGTTGACAAACTTGTTCATCAATAAATCCTGTTCCATATCTACTGATATAAGAATATTTCTGACATTTCTAATCCATACTGAATCACTTGATTTGCTCCATAAAAATATTTTCTTTGTGATTCAATCATTGTCTAAACTTAGAAACCTATTCCAAAGTCTGATTGTTTCTACTTTATGTATTAGTTCAAGAGGGAGCCACCCAAACTCAAGATTGTCAAATCCCCAAACTCCTACACCATAACCTAGTATTATTATATGGGTAAAACACATGTATAATTTTGTGTAGGTTTTTTCCATTATAATTAGAAGTCCTCCTTGACAACCACAATCTGGTCTCAAGTGCAAATCTGACTCGGATATGGATTTTAATTAAGGTCGATATGCATATAAACCAATGTCTTCGTTGCAAGTCAAATATGTCTTCGTACCAATGGCCCATCAATGCTACAAAACGGAAAACTGTCTAGTATAAAATCCATTTTTGAAGTGTAATCATATTAAAAAAACTGAACCAATTACATTACACGATAAGAGTGATAAAACTAAGAAAACAAAAATTCTGAGCCAATTATTTTTTCGAAAGTTCGGCCATGTTGAAACGAATGCAAACTGTCAATGAATAGTTTGCTATTTATGTACCAAAGTGCAACAAAAATACACTAAAATGCCACTAGTGGTTATGATTCATGAATTACAAAATTACAAAATCACTTAAATAGTGCTCGAAATGGTGAAAACTGCATGATTTTGAAAGAATTTTTGCCCTCTGGCTACGGGCCTGTATTGGGATTGGTCTAGTAGTCTAGTGGATGATTTCACTGGAAGAGGAGTATCATATCGCTATCTTGAACACACCGATCTTCACCCGTTCTCACTTTAGCTCATTCAAAAAACGATGTTGTCCTTTTGATATCAGTGAAGAGACCTATAACATGTACCTGTCCATAAGTACATGTATGTACTTAAGAACCCTTAAGAATTATCACTGATTCAAACAATACAATTTTGTTTTGATTTGATAAATCAATTCAATAACAAACAATGTCACCTTTATATATAAATATACTCTTAATACCCCTTCCATGTTCAGGAATATTTGGATATAATGGCTTATGGAAGCTTTTAATTTCACTAATGCTGACAGTTGTTCCTACTTTAACTCATTAAATCGTGTTCACACCAGAGCTAGTATTAACAGTTAAGTTTCCAAACTTTTGGCGGGAGTGTAAGCCTCTATAAAGTAAAGTAAAAAAGTCACATTAAAATGAATTAGTATTTGTTTAGTGGTTCGCTATACTATAGGACAATGGAATACAAACAAGATTGCAAATTGAATTTTTCTTTGGATTATTACAATGTGACAACGCAAAGGTAGGATGCATGCAAAACTAATAGTAACAAATTATGGCAATGCGTCCAAGATAGAAGAGAGAGGTGATCTCATCAGAGTCTTATTCAAGGTACAATGGAATGAAGTGAAATTCCCTTTGACCAAGAATGTGTAAGGCCAGTGTAGGACACAGTTGAGGATGCATACAGTATTGCGCCATATCTAAAGTATCGAATGGAAAGCATGAAGGTCGAATGAAAAACATGAAGATGGTTATAAGAGGATTCGAATTTCATTTCCTTTGTAGTGATCTGAGAGGGTTCAGAAGCTTTTTATTTGTGTCAAAGCTATCATGTATTGTTTGTTAGACTATAGTTAGACAAATAACATGAGCAAAGCACATTTTTAACCGACTTTTCCCCACTAGGATGGACTTTTCACGCCAGCCCTTAGCACAGAATTTCATTCTGTGTTTTCATTAACCAACATACTTTACGCTGTTAATTAGTGCTTTCAAACCAATTTAAAAAAACTTGAGTGTATGCATTTATCAGTTTATATAGCTCAAACATATTCTCTCGTTCATTATGCTAGTATGCCATTCAAGATATTTGAGCAATCATTCCGCTTGACTTCTTATATAGATAACTTCACTTCAAACGATAGAGAACCTCATAAACTGCTTCAAAATGACCCGAGGACCATTGAACATTGGTCTAAATATTGGAAGTTAAATTTTAAATCTGAAAAGGGTTAAGAAGCTAATAACGCCCATTATTATGAGCAAGTCATTTTTAGCCAATAGGGAGTTTAAGCTTGCAATGTTTTTCACACCCTCAACCATCCTCCTAAGCAGGTATCCAGAATCCGTACCTCCTTCTTTGTAAAAAGAAAGAAGATATTCTTGATTTTGGAGCCCTGTGATCGGAGGATGACCCTCAACGTGAACGGAAAATATTTAAGCGATGCATTAGAAATTTGTATAGGCGATTTGATTTCCCCCTCTTCTTATTCATATTATTTTATCTTTGTTCTCGAGACCCTATAGGCAGAAGCAGCAGCCCCTAACTCTCCAATCAAAATGCAGATAATGTTTCTTTCTTTTTAAGATTTTTTTATATCATTAAATAACCTTGAAAACAAATTATAAATGCTACATTGAGCGACACTTATAATGCCACTTGCGATTGGGTCAATCATGTATGACCTGTACTTGATTAGATAATGGAAATAAAATATATTTCGAGATAAACTTCTTGTTTAGCAGTACCACAATTGAATCAGGTCGAGCCTCGGTGAACTTTTTAACGAAGTATATCACGGGGGATATTTTAGGTGAAATAAATATATGTGTTGCTGTGTTTGAAAATAGGTGAATGGCGTAAATTCGCCCTATTTTAATGAATTTTGAAAACCTTTTGTCCTCCACTTTTCCACATACAACAGAAAACACATACATTTGCGAACTATATCAACTAATTATTAATAAATTAGAGTTTATGAGCAAAATAATCATGTATGGTATATTAAAAATTGGTCTCGTTTTTTTGTTTAATGTACACCTGAAAAGTTGAAAGTAACAAAAAATGAGCAAAAAGGTCGCTTTCGACAGATTCTATTTTTCAAACTATATGACGTCACAATATGACACGCTTACTAGAATTCATCCTTTGAAATAACACTTACATCTACACCCTATGCAGACAGAGCCTGTGGGAAATATTGGGTGCGGCGCAAATGAGCGGAGGGTGCGGAGCTAACGGTCATTTTTGAATTTAAAATTGGGATATTTCTGAAACTAAGCCGTTTTTGGACTTCAAATATACCAAGATATGTGTATTTGACACCAAATACCAATAAAATTGTGAAAATAGTAGTGCAATTCATTTAATAGCGACGCAGTATGCCTTAAACATTTCCCAGACCTATATATTTTGAGACTATCCTTTTTAATACTGCGTCCCCAGCATTCATAAAAAATGGTGTTCAAGATACACTACCCATGCAAATTATTTTTGCATCTTGGAAGCCAGGCAGTATCTGTGTGATTTTATAAAAATTCGGAAATGTTCTTCAGATATGAGCCCCCTCTAAATATTGGGTGCGGAGCTACGTTTATGGAGCTGCTCCGCACCCAATATTTAGAGGGGGCTCATATCTGAAAAACATTCCGAATTTTTATAAAATCACACAGATACTGCCTGGCTTCCAAGATGCAAAAATAATTTGTATAGATAGTGTACCTTGAACACCATTTTTTATGAATGCTGGGGACTCAGTATTAAAAGGATAATTTTAAAATATATAGGTCTGGGAAAGGTTTAAGGCACACTGCGTCGCTATAGAATGAATTGCGCTACTATATTCACAATTGTATTGATATTTTGTGTCAAATACACATATCTTGGTATATTTGAAGTCCCAAAACGGCTTAGTTTCAGAAATATCCCAAATTTAAATTCAAAAATGACCGTTAGCTCCGCACCCTCCGCTCATTTGCTCCGCACCCAATATTTCCCACAGGCTCTGTCTGCATAGGGTGATCTACCTTTATCAAGGCTCAATAAAGTATAATAGTCAAATATTGTTTGAGTATGTGCGTTTAAAGACGAAAAATTCACTTCAAACGATAGAGAACCTCATAAACTGCTTCAAAATGACCCGAGGACCATTGAACATTGGTCTAAATATTGGAAGTTAAATTTTAAATCTGAAAAGGGTTAAGAAGCTAATAACGCCCATTATTATGAGCAAGTCATTTTTAGCCAATAGGGAGTTTAAGCTTGCAATGTTTTTCACAACCTCAGCGTGAACGGAAAATATTTAAGCGATCCATTAGAAATTTGTATAGGCGATTTGATTTCCCCCTCTTCTTATTCATATTATTTTATCTTTGTTCTCGAGACCCTATAGGCAGAAGCAGCAGCCCCTAACTCTCCAATCAAAATACAGATAATGTTTCTTTCTTTTTAAGATTTTTTTACAGACAGATTCTATTTTTCAAACTATATGACGTCACAATATGACACGCTTACTAGAATTCATCCTTTGAAATAACACTTCCATCTACCTTTATCAAGGCTCAATAAAGTATAATAGTCAAATATTGTTTGAGTATGTGCGTTTAAAGACGAAAAATTATTCAAAATGTAATAACGTGTCGACAGCAGATATTTGGCAGAGTTTGGGGTAAAAATCTATTTTTCAAAAAAGAACGCGCAAGAATTGTGAAAGAAGTGTACTTGATTTGAAAGCTTCATTAAAGCAGCTTTAAAATGATATATAATTTTAATTAGAATATTATCTTATATTCCGAAGAATTATAGTTACATTCATGCAATACCCTAAAAACACAAGTGCGCCAGCTTTTTGCGACGTGTCCATGCATTACATGTATTATATACCCCATTTGAATTCTAGATGGTCGTTGGCTTATTCATGGTTACATGATTTGAAATAGATGGACTAAATCCCTGGAAAGTCCTTAATCCCTGCTAACAGGGAAGATGAAATGCACTAATCACCAGTTTGGTCATGTGACATTTTATCTTCCCTATTTGCTGTGATTTATAGGAGTTGAAGGGCAAAATGCCGTTGATAGCCAATAAGAACATGTGAGCATTAATAATGTTTAATGAAATTAAAAGACTTTCGATTTTGTTTTTTGTTTACAGAGTACATAAGGGGTAAGGCCTGCAGCCTTGGGAACATGTCAGTGGACAGGATATTCCCATGGGATATTTTGCACTATTTCCCTCAATGGCAGTCACTATTTGTATATTATTATATACCTCAAATGTATTCTAGATGCTCATTGGCTTATTCATGGTCACATGACATGGAATAGATGAACTAATTCCCTGGAAAGTCCTAAATCCCTACTTTCAGGGAAGATGAATTGTACTAATCACCAGTTAGGTCATGTGACCAGTCAATAGTAAATTTTATCTTCTCCCAAATCTTGAGATTATAGGAGTTGAAAGGTAAAATGCCTTTAAATGCCAATAAGAACCTGTGAACATTTGATATTGAAATGAAAAGACTTCTCATTTTGTTTTTGTTTACAGAGTACTTATCAGGTATATGATAAAACAAATAGTGACTGCCACATTTTCGGGAAATAGTGTAAAAATTTTCCTCTCAGGAATATCCTGTCCACTGACTTGTTCCCTCGGCCTGCAGCCTTGGGAACATGTCAGTGGACAGGATATTCCCTTGAGGAAAATATTTTGCACTATTTCCCTCAATGGCAGTCACTATTTGTACACTATTCTATGTTCTACCATGTGCTTTCAAGAGAGCCCTTGGTTCTATGTTTATCAATTAAGTATTCTGTATTTCGGTTCAGTATTTTGTTGTATTCTTCCAAAGTGCTGTTACGTCGTCGTCCTTAAATCTGAAGACATGGCAAGTGTCGCTGATTGTTTTGTTGGGATTCGGGGGATTTGCGATGCTACTCAGTGTTGGACACTATTTCATCAGGAAATACATCTACCGAGATCAAGACAGAGTAGACACAGCCTTTGATGCTGGAGGTAACAAAATCATAACTTGTAAAATAGGCCTTATGGATATAAGCCAACGTTTTCTGACTCATGTCTGTCAGAGTATAGATCAACGTCGTTAAACTCAATAATGGCGTTCTTCACTAGGCCTATTAGGAATCTTCTTGCCCGTATATCCAGGGCCAGAAGACATGTCAGATAAGAAATGAGGCCCAGGCTTGGTCTAATGTTGTTTGACTAGTCCGAGTATAGACTAGGATAGGCCTATACGTATGTATTGCTTAAAATATCATGTGCAAAAAAGTCCTTCAAAAAAGGTTAAATGGTACATATATGAAAAAATGTTCTCTTTCCAGGAAACGTAACGCTGTCTCTTACTGCGGCTTCAGCGGCGTCACAATTATTTTGGCCAGCAGATTTACTACAGAGCGCTACCGTAACAACGAAGGTGTAAAAACGAATACATTATCACATTAATATTAGTATACAACGATTGTTCAGGTTACCCAACATCCCATGTGCAAGAAACTGCTTTTTGTAATCCACTATGATTTGGATTCATAGATGATGTATATTATATTTATATTGATCTTGATTTTATTTTGACATTCTAGTATGGTGTAGCAGGTGCCTTCTGGTATGCAGTGGGGGTTGTGGTGAACATCGTCTTGTTTCCTCTACTCTCTGTTCACTTCAAATCGAGGGCCCCTGGAGCCAAGACATTCCTACAGGTCAGTCCAATTTGCCAAGGTCACATTTGCTCCGATCCATCGGACTGCGCCCGTCCGATTGCAGTATTTTGTTTAAAACTGATTTCAACTTGCTTCAAATTGACCAAACATTTTTTTAAATCATGAACAAGTACTCAGGAGTTCACACCTGACCTCAGCTTTGACCTTAAAGGACGAATGTCTTTAAGAACCTACATTAGCCCCAAATACATTTAGACAAAATTGTACAGGATATCAAAGAAGGGACTTTGTTTTATAACCAGATCCAAAGATTAAGTCATTCTGACTTTTATATTTCAAAATATATGTCATTCTATTAACATGTATAAAATTACCCTTTGAAGGAAAAGTCACTCTTTTCACATCATTATTGTCACTGTTTATATTTATTATCAAAATAATCATTATTTACAGTCAATCAAGACTTTTTAATTGATCCTTTTGGTATTATCTTACATAATAGAGACAAAGCATAATGGGCAACATTTGAAAACACATAAAATATAACAAGTCAAAAATGCAAAAAAAGATTGAATATACTCATTGAGATCAACTATCTACAAAAATATGTCAGAGAAAAATATTGAGTTTTTTAATTTACATCACAACGAGAAAGAACAAGGGGCAACATTAAAAAACACATGAAGTAATGTATATCAATCAGCTATATATTGATCTGCTTCCTTGAGATCAATTGCTCATACAGTTTGTTTTAAAGTGGCAGTAAAATACTGAATTCATTATTTCGCATCACAGTGAAGAAGCACAAAGGGCAACATTTAAAACACACAAAGGGTTACTCTGGGCTTAACATAACTGTTGTACTTCTGTAGATGAGCACATTCATGTGTTTGTTTATTATAATAGAGACTCTATGAGCTATCATCATCTTCTTCAGATGACAACATTTCAGACGTATCTTTTAATTTTAAAATGTCAAACTTTGTGCATTTCCTTTGCTTTTATACCCCTTGTGCCCACCGGAGCCTAGAAAAAAAATAGCACAATCACCGTATGCACATGAACCTACAGCTCTACTCCCAACTGGGTGTGAACAACACCAGACAGTGATTGCATCAATACTATTACAATAATTACATACATCTGGATCTGGGTTGTACTCCATCCATGTATAGTGAGATTTAGAGGACACAAACCTCTTACTGGGCTTTTACACAAATTAGGCATGTTTCTTTTTTATCAATGATGGTACATTTCCCATCTACTCGAAGATGGTTGTCTGTGCATCGTTTAGAGCGGTTGGCTTGATATACACCAAAATTGAGTTGACATACATCGTCTTCAGTCAGAATGGGGAAGTCCTCAAAAGAGTCCACTACAATTTAGATGTAACCCTCTGTCTCCATATAGGGGGTACTGAGTGATTGCACTTTACTCATACAATTCCCTTTGCTCTGGGAATTTTATCAGCAAATGTCATTTTCCCGCCAATTGATTGTGACTTACCTTATATTCCTTCTGCACAATAAAGTTGAGCTTGATTTCTAAATATGAACATTGGTTTGATCAGCCAGAGAAATATTTAAAAATATTCATTGACAAAAATGACTCCTGTCACATGAAGATTAAATGATTGTACAACAATCATCTCAATTTTGTATGTACATTTGTATGAATGTATAGAAAGGAATTACATGTTATTATGTTGTTTAGAGCCATGGTAAAATATGTGCTTCTTTAGAGGTCATGCTTCAGTGCAAGCATAAATATAAGTTCATGAAATGATAATATGAAATATGAAAATATACTTGAATATATAAAACACAATTGTAACAATCATTCTAAGGATTTTCAAAATGGCTGACATCATTTTATTTTATGCTGAAAATTGCATAAAAGTTCCATTTTTGTACAACGCCTGGTCCTTACCTAGATTTTCACATATCTCAAGGAGTACCTTAGAAGTACACTATTCCCTCACTACATTCTTTCTAGGTAAGAACCAGGCGTTATATGAAGCAAGAGTTTATCATGACCTTCTTCTCTCTAGAAATAAGTAGGTCATCACAATTGCAAACATAACTAATCCCTTCTCAATGACTATTGAAATAAATATGACTATTTATATGCACACGATATTAATCCAATGAGTGTATAGAGTGGCACAATCAAACAATGGGACATCTGCCAAGTTGGGTTTATACATTCTGGAGAGATTTTCGTAGCCTGATGAAAATTTCACATTTTCACAGGAAGTGATACATACCTCCCAAATCAACCAAAATATACTTATATCAGTAATCTCGAATGTTTTTATTTCTTTTTTCTTGAAAATATACATATTTATCTACAATTTGATCCTACATATCAAGAATATTAACGACATTGCATTTTTCAATAAATGTTAAGCGATCCCAGGGGTGTCTATAGCCATTCGTTCTTTTGAACAAAATACTCAATCAACAGGGCGCCGGCCGATGAATCGAAGCAAATATGACCTAGGCATCAGAGAGAATTGATTTTTCGGCTATAAATTTTTTTATTCGCACATGTTTGAAAAAGGTTTCACAACTTCACCGGAGGAGCCGACGAGGTCACAATGTCCATAGTTGACCATGCGAGATCTTGTAAGCCCAACTGTTAATGTGAAATAAAAAATCTGTCTTAAAAAGACCTGAATTTCTCATTAAATATATTCAAATTTAATGTTTCATTCTTCTTTAGGTGATTCAGGCGCGGTTCGGGAAAAATGCCCACATCGTGTCAATTGTGTTTGCACTTGCTACAAACTGTGTTGTTCTCACTTGCCTGATCCTCGCAGGAACGGCAACCATGACAGCGATTGCCGATGATATGTCCCCTGAATATGCAGTAATATTAATGGCCTTTTTGTTTGGATCATACACACTTGTGGGTGGCCTTGGAGCTACGTTTTACGTCTCATACTTTAACTGTGTGCTGATCTATCTTATGTTATTGATCGTCACCCTTAATGTCTATTACATTCATCATGATGATTCTATTGGATCTCTTGAGAGACTTTACGACAAGATCAGTTGCGTTTTCGGGCCAGAGGGCAATGAGGGAAATAGTGTCGTGACATTCCGGTCAAGTGGAGCGATTATTTTTGGCATCATCAGCATATTTTTGGCATCTGCAGTTGTTTTCTGTGACCAGGCATCTTGGCAGATGAGAATTGCAGCTAAACCTATGCAAGGTGAAACATTTTTTGGTTGCCAAGTATCTAGGAAAGTATAACACTAAGCATGTATTGAAGGATTTGGGCAGGAAATACTGAAAGCCCTATCAAAACCCAATGGTATTTTCCTTTAAAACTTCATATAGATAGATCCATTTTATTGGTTGTTAGACATATTTTCTGTCAACAGTAACTGTCAGCCCTTCCAATAAGGTCAACATGCTATTACCTAGTAACACAGAATAGAATGAAATGATGACATACTTCTTCTGAAAGCAGTTTTCAACTTTTTTTTAAATAATCAAGGTAGATTGACTAACGAAATTGCAACACCACATAGATTTACAGGAATGTAGACTCTCTTTTGGAACGTTATGAATCATTGTCTTTGTTGCCAATATTCTTTATTAATCGTATCCAAGTTGATAATTTGGGGGTTTCTGAAGGATATGTGTGACTAAGTTGGTATTTCAGACTTTAAATCAATTCAATTTCCTTTCCCATTACCTAACTTATCCTTTATATTTGATTTATAAGTTTGGTATGACTATTTACTTCGAAGTTCATGTGTTTAATTTGTATTTGTTTGATATGGAATTAATCATAAATGAATTTGAAAACTAACAAAAAGCAAGTTGTGAATACCGAAGCAGTAATTGAAAATGTACAATAAGGGTAATACCTGGTATATGACTAGAATATTTTTCATTGTTAAAACCAGTCACATAGAGATGCGGCTTTTTGTTTTGTGTTTAGGTGTAATTGGATTCTTCATCGGTGGCTTGATCTGGTTCGCTATCCCGATTCCTCTGACTACAACTACTGGACTAATTTACCTCTCAGAGAGTATTGAACAAGGGGCCCCTTTGCTTACTGACACACAAGTTGATGAAGGTGATGCATTTAGTCATGACTGACACACATATTGAGTTCATATTTCACTGCTATATAGATAAGGAATCCAAAAACACTTATGAAAACAATCGGTCCTAAATCTACAAAAATGATATGCTAGATACAAATGTTTCGCGATACATTAATTTTTTATATCGATAAATGACTGTATATTTTAGGTATGTTGTTTATTTAAAGGCTTGGTGTCGCCATTAATCTTACACAAGTTGTTTGGTGTGTTTGGAGAGGTGATGATCCTTGCTATGGTGTGTATGGCCCTCATGTCGACGGGTTCTGGGGAGATCATGGCCATTTCATCAATTATCGTTTACGACATTTACCAAGTCTACTTCAATCCTTACAGGTATATCTTGATCTTGATATATTAGAAAAACTATGACATATTGGCGAAATTGGTTGGAGTTAAAATTCGACCATGCAAAAACAAGATTAGCTTATCGCTAATTTTAAGACATACAACCTATGACACCATCAAGCTAGCCAATATATCCAAGTTTCTCTGATGTATGGTGGCAGGATTTATCAGCTTTAGCATATAGTTCGGTCCACCAGTATTCAAGATTTTGAAAATCAATTAATCAAATTACATATTATATGTAGATACTGTTTTGTTTTTCATTTCAGCGCATTTTAATTCATTTTGCAGGTCTTTTCAAGTTGCGCCAAATCAATGTATTCTATGCCTTTGTACTTACAAAACTGGAAGTGAAGACCACGGAAACAAAACCGAGTTTTGCTCATGTGAAGGGGTGAAATCCTGCGAAGCCTGTTGCAATGACGACACTACACGGTCTCTTCAAAAATCTGCAGTTCTCCCAGATTACACTTGCAAAGTGCATGGTGAATACAAAAAATACCAGGACATCTTGCGGAATTTGAAAGCCTGGTGTATCGTTTGGGTTACCGTAGCTATAGTCCCCATGGGGTTAGTTATCAACAATTCTGGGATTAATCTCAACTGGGCGTTCCAATCTGGGGCGGTGAGCACCATCTCTTGTTTCCCGACTGTTGTTCTCTCCGTGATGTGGTCCAAAACGACGGGAGCTGCTGTAATTGCAGGTTTGGATCAACCAACTCAATCAATGAATTGAGATACAATTCCAAGGTCCACATTAGTTACAAAGGGCAGTGATAGATTCACATTTATACACGTACATTTGAAGCTTTCAAAATTGAGTCATAACATGCCCATTTTACAATGGGAATGCAATGTATGCCAAGTGTGTCTCAGCCAATGAGGATTTCAGCATGTTCAGTGCACCAGCAGACACATTATTTTGCTGTTCATTATAATTTTGTAATGAACATAGCCTAGTGAGCAGTGCCATTATTAGTAAAAGAAAAAATAGACAGATTCATGAGTTCATAGTATATTTGAATTGCAATAAAGAATCCTGTATCATGCTTTATTGGATTTAGAAGCATCCATCCATGAACTTAACTAACCCATCTTGATAATGTACTCGGGGCTCCGCTCTCGTGCATTATATGCACGGGATAGAACATGCACTCATGCTTTAAAATTTCCAATAAAGGATGATAGGATTCTTCCAGGTGATGGAAAATTAATTTCATCCGAGGTAAAAATACTTTTTCAGTGTTCAAATCTGAAGCATTTATAAAAAATAATGATACTGATTTCTTGATGGTTTTTAACGAAAAATTCTAAAATTATGGTTTATAAAGCTATATTTATCCCTTTCCATAATAACCGATTCTCATCTGAACAACATTTTATATTTAGGTAACTTGCTGGGGCTATTGGTAGGTTATTCCTCCATGGTCGGTTTAGCATCAACATACCCAGGAGGCTTAGAAAACATGGAATCATTTGTCAGGAACACTGCTCAAGAGACAAGGTAAACTTCATTCCAATGAAAGTCCAAATAATCTGACATATTGAGTGGAGCGGCATTAATACAATACGCAATATATTTCAAGGACTTTATTCGACACACATCTCAAGCGTAATTTCACCCCTTTAATATCTTACGTTCAATTCATTGGTATAGGAAGTTGAATTTTGAGTTTGGTATTTTCAGTGTTCTTGTTGGTTGCTGTTTTAGCTTCGGGATCAGCCTATTTACTTGCATCGGTGTATCCATTGTCACTAACTGCAAGGCAAATTCTGACAATGATTGTATACGTGAATGGGATAAAACTCTAGCGATTGACAACCCGTTGTACCCGTGGGTGGAGCAATATGAGAACAATCTTACGGCAATGAACATAGAATACCACCACAGGCCGTCATTTCGACAGATGGAGCAACTATTTAAAGGAGCGAGAAATGCAGCTTACATTGGTGGAACATGCTTTATTTTGATCTTCCTTATCGTACTTCCAGGAATTCTAATGATCATGCCTTATTTGGAGTTTCATCAGTTTCAAGGTTGGATAACGTTTAGCCACGTGTTTATGTTTATAATGGCACTGTTCGTCTTTATCGTCCCTCCAGCTCAAGAGATCATCAACATACGTAAGGAATACCGAGATTATATTGAACCTAGAGAACAGGAGATTGGGGATAGTGCAATTCAAAATGAACTTCTCTAATACGACAAGAGTATTGAAACCAATAAAATGCTCATAGACCTACTAATATTTGTTGTACTAAATACGATACTCTATGCTGCATATTCTGTGAGCGTTTTATCATGTTTATTAGAATGTATATTTAAAAAAGGAATAATAGAGATATTATAAGAACTTAATGATCACGTATATTGTTGTATTGTAGTACATTATACTATTTATTAGTCTATGCAAAGGACGGTGTATTTAAAAACCCTCGCTGCCCCTAGATGGAATCAAAGCATCTTATAATTCATAAAATTCAAAATTACAAAATCACTTAAATAGTGCTCGAAATGGTGAAAACTGCATGATTTTGAAAGAATTGTCCTCCCTATATTATAATACTTGATCCATGTTCAGGAATATTTGGATATAATGACTTATGGAAGCTTTTAATTTCACTAATGCTGACAGTTGTTCCTACCTCACAGATGCAGACTATATCACAATTCATTTTCCCTAGTTTTTACTTTAACTCATTAAATCGTGTTCACACCAGAGCTAGTATTAACAGTTAAAGTTTCCAAACTTTTGGCGGGAGTGTAAGCCTCTATAAAGTAAAGTTAAAAAGTCACATTAAAATGAATTAGTATTTCTTAGTGGTTCGCTATACTACAGAACGATGGAATACAAACAAGATTGCAAATTGAATTTTTCTTTGGATTATAACAATGTGACAACGCAAAGGTAGGCTGCATAACTAATGGTAATAAATCATGGCAATGCGTCCAAGATAGAAGAGGTAATCTCATCACAGTCTTATTCAAGGTACAATGGAATGAAGTGAAATTCCCTTCGACCAAGAATGTGTTAAGGGCAATGTAGAACACTGAGTTGAGGTATCATACAGAATTGCGCCATATCTAAAGTATCGAATGAAAAACATGAAGGTCGGATGAAAAACATGAAGATTGTTATGAGGGCATTCGAATTTCATTTCCTTTGTAGTGATCTGAGAGGGTTCAGAAGTTTTTTGTTTGTTTCAAAGCTATCATATATTGTTTGTTACACCATAGTTAGACAAATAACATTAGCAATGCACATTTTAACCGACTTTTCCCCACTCGGAAGGACTGTTTCACGTCAGCCCTTAGCACAGAATTAGCACAGGGTTTTCATTAACCAACGCTTAATACACTTTACGCTTAATTAGTGCTTTCAAACCAATTTAAAAAACTTGAATGTATGCATTTATCAGTTTATATAGCTCAAACATATTCTCTCGTTCATTATATTAGTATGCCATTCAAAATATTTGACCAAACATTCCGCTTGACTTCTTGTATAGATAACTTCACTTCTAACGAATAGATACTCACATAAACTGCTTCAAAATGACCTGAAGACCATTGAATAGAAAATGGTGAAGGAGCTATTAACGCCCATAATTATGAGCAAGTCATTTTTTGCCAATAGGAAGTTTAAGCTTGCAATGTTTGTCACAACCTAAACGTGGACTGAAAATATTTAAGCTATCCATTTGTATGGGCGATTGGCCATACGTATAGGCTTGGTGTTTCGATTTTATATGCAAGCTTAAACTCCCTAATATCTAGGTATAATACGCATATTTAGGCTTCTATTTTGATTGTAAACTCAGTGGATCTGAACGCATAAACTATCCTGTTTGGTGAATTAAAAAAGCCCTAAATCCAATGAAACCACTCAATGGGAAACAACAGTTAAACATCATGTATAATTCATACATCCAATCACTTTTTGACTACTGTGACACACTTTATCATTGTGCAACACAAGCCAATCTAAAGAAACTGGATCAGCTCCAATATGAAGCTCCCTTAATTGTCTCTGGTTGATTGATTTGCTGAACTGGGTCTAACCTAAATGATCGAAGACTTTTCCACTTTAAAAAGCATAATCAAAACACTCCATAATGTATTAGTGACATATTTTTCTTTTAAGATAGACAATAGAATGTTATGGGATTTATCAGATTTCAATTTATCAATATCATTGCCAGGGAAATCACATGTTTACAATTTGACAAAATGGAATAAAATTCCAAGAGAACTGAAATTATTGTACAAATAGTGACTGCCATTGAGAGAAATAGTGCAAAATATTTTCCTCAAGGGAATATCCTGTCCACTGACATGTTCCCGAGGCCGCTGCAGGCCGAGGGAACAAGTCAGTGGACAGGATATTCCCGAGAGGAAAATTTTTACACTATTTCCCGAAAATGTGGCAGTCACTATTTGTTTTATTATGTCCCCACCACATAGTGTGGGGCCATATTGTCGGCCTAGGCGCGTCTGTCTGTCCGTCTGTCCGTCTGTCCGTCTGTCCGTATGTCCGTCCGTCCGTACGTCCGGCAGTTTTCTCCAAAACCGCTACAGATATCACCTTCAAATTTTCAGGGATAACTTATGAGTGCATCTAGATGTGGATGAAAAAAATTTAACTCGAAACCTACTTCCTGTCGGCCATTTTGAAGTCAAATGCTAAAATCCTTGTCTGCAAACTTTAAGAAAAACGGCTTCACAGTTGCTTTTAAAACTTTAACATCTTGTTCAGCTCACTTCATTCTAGATCTGATTAGATTTTGGACCTGTTAGCTCAGTCATGTCAGCCATTTTGAATGTTTGAAGAAAAGTTTGCGTGCGATAATACTTTGTATCATATTGAATGGTGTTTTTGAGTTTTCATACTTTAACTATTTAGTAGCTTTATAAATAATTTCAGGTGTATTTTGTTGTAAAAGCCTATGTCATTGTTAACAGTGGTTATATGTGACAATTTTGGAAAAGGAAATCAGCAAAAAGTCATAATCACTTTTTTATTGTCGGCCATTTTGGATTTTTCCGTCCTAAAATCTTGTCTGTAAAGTCTTGTCTTCGCGTTTTCAGGTGAACCGTTTGGTAGATCAATTTCAAATTTTCAGGGATGATTCTTAGTATGACAATCTAGATCTGATTAGTTTTTGGGCATTCTGGGTAAATGTCAAGGCAGCCATTTTGGATTTTCCGTCCTAAAATCTTGTCTGTAAAGTCTTGTCTACGCATTTCCAGGTTAACTGTTTGGTAGATCAATTTCAAATTTTCAGGGATGATTCTTAGTATGAAAATCTAGATCTGATTAGATTTTTAGCATTCTGGATAAATGTCAAGGCAGCCATTTTGGATTTTCCGTCCTAAAATCTTGTTTGTAAAGCCTTGTTTACATGTTTTCTGGTTAACTGTGAGAGGGATCAATTTCAAATTTTCAGTGGTGGTTCTTAGTATGAAAATCTAGAACTGACTAATTTTTTGGCATTCTGGGTAAATTTTAAGGTGGCCATTTTGGATATTCCTTCCTGAAACTGTGTCGGTAAAGTCTTGTCTACTTATTTTTAGGATAACCATTTGATGGGATCACCCATAGGTGGGGACATTTTGTACACATTTGTGTTCTTGTTTTATACCTGGATAAGTACTCTGTAAACAAAAAAACAAAATGAGAAGTCTTGTCATTTCAATATCAAATGTTCACAGGTTCTTATTGGCATTCAAAGGCATTTTACCTTTCAACTCCTATAATCTCAGATTTGGGGGAAGATAAAACGTACTATTGACTGGTCACATGACATAACTAGTGATTAGTACAATTCATCTTCCCTGAAAGCAGGGATTTAGGACTTTCCAGGGAATTAGTTCATCTATTCCATGTCATGTGACCATGAATAAGCCAATGAGCATCTAGAATACATTTGAGGTACATAATAATACCAAGTATAAAGCATCATTTAAAACCTTGCCAGATCTTATTCTTAGTCACAACTTAAACTGGACAACTGTCGACTCTCCTGGCCATTTTACTATTTCTCTAATCCCTATTGCTCCCGTCGTCCCACGTTACATTCTTTTACAACATACATTCTTCAGCCGTGAGGGACTATGGCTAAGATGCCCCTTCATTCATAATGTTTTATCTTTATTCTCAGGACTGTATAGGCAGAAGCAGCAGCCCCCAACTCTCCAATTAAAATGCAGATACCTTTTCTTTCTTTTTAAGATCTTTTATTATATCATTAAATAACCATGAAAACAAATTGTAAATGCTATATTGAGCGACAAGTCAATTAAAATGCCACTGGCCTCGATGAAGAAGAATAGTTTTACCGGACATAGGCAACTTTTTCAACGAAGTGTATCACGGGGGAGAGTCATCAAGATACTTTTATTATGTCACCAACAAAAAGTGGTGACATATTATAATGGTCTCCGTTTTTCTTTTGACGGCGGTTGCCGGTTGGTGATCGGCGTCTGTAACAAAAGTCTTACAACTTCCAATAACTTAACAAGTACTGACTTCAATGTTTTTCAAAACTATCAGAAGTTTTCAGAAGTTCAAATCTAACTTTATATTTTAGACTTGAACTTCAATGACCTTCTCAAGGTCAAAAAGGTGTTTTTCATCTAGCTTCAAATTGACCAATCTTTTCTAAATCATCTAAAAGTTCTCAGAAGTCCAAATCTGACTTTAGATTTGAGATTTCACCTTCAATGACATTCTTATGGCCAAAAAAGTAGGTTGTGACATTTTGTCATGTTAATGCCTTGTTTCTATCATGTTTTTTCACTGTTCTACCATGAGCTTTCAAGAGAGCCCGTGGTTTATGTTTATCAACTATATATTCTGTATTTCGGTTCAGTATTTTGTTGTATACTCCAAAGTGCTGTTACGTCGTCCTCCCTAAATCTGAAGACATGGCATGTGTCGCTGATTGTTCTGTTGGGATTCGGAGGATTTGCGATGCTACTCAGTGTTGGACACTATTTCATCAGGAAATACATCTACCGAGATCAAGACAGAGTAGACACAGCCTTTGATGCTGGAGGTAACAAAATAGTAGGCTATAATAGATATGACATTTTCGTGCTTAATCATCGTGTCAACGTACAGTGTCAAAAAATACCGTTGTACATCCAGTTTTCTGTATGTTGACGAAAGTACAAACTACGATGAGGGTTGGAAATAAA